ATCCATCTTCCCATCAATTTTAGCCATCTTCCCTGTCCCTGCTGAAGAAAAGCAGGCCCAAAGTATGGTGCTGCCACCACCATGTTTGACAGTGGGGATGGTGTGTTCAGGGTGATAAGCTGTGTTGCTTTTACGCCAAACATATCGTTTTGCATTGTGGCCAAAAAGTTCGATTTTGGTTTCATCTGACCAGAGCACCTTCTTCCAAATGTTTGGTGTGTCTCCCAGGTGGCTTGTGGCAAACTTTAAACAAGACTTTTTATGATATCTTTGAGAAATGGCTTTCTTCTTGCCACTCTTCCATAAAGGCCAGATTTGTACAGTGCACGACTGATTGTTGTCCTATGGACAGACTCTCCCACCTCAGCTGTAGTTATCTGCAGTTCATCCAGAGTGATCATGGGCCTCTTGGCTACATCTCTGATCAGTCTTCTCCTTTTTTGAGATGAAAGTTTGGAGGGACGGCCAGGTCTTGGTAGATTTGCACTGATACTCCTTCCATTTCAATAGAATTGCTTGCACAGTGCTCCTTGAGATGTTTAAAGCTTGGGAAATCGTTTTGTATCCAAATCCGGCTTTAAACTTCTCCACAACAGTATCTCGGACCTGCCTGGTGTGTTCCTTTGTCTTCATGGTTCTCTCTGTGCTTTAAACAGAACCCTGAGACTATCAAAGAGCAGGTGCATTTATACGGAGACTTGATTACACACAGGTGCATTCTATTTATCATCCTCAGTCATTTAGGACAACATTGGATCATTCAAAGATCCTCACTGAACTTCTGGAGTGAGTTTGCTGCACTGAAAGTAAAGGGGCCGAATAATGTTGCACGCCCCACTTTTCAGTTTTTTATTTGTTAAAAAAGTTTAAATTATCCTATAAATTTTGTTCCACTTCACGATTGTGTCCCACTTGTTGATTCATGACAAAAAAATTAAATTCCATATCTTTATGTTTGAAGCCTGAAATGTGGCGAAATGTTGAAAGTTTCAAGGGGGCCGAATACTTTCGCAAGGCACTGTATATGTAAATTTCACTCCAAAAGATGACATCTAGTCTTCAAATTCTATGTAAATTCATCTATTTGGATCACCAGAAACCAGTCCAAGGAGTCCAAGTAAAGTTTTCGAATGTCCCAACTTGTCCCCACACCGCTTGTTGGGAAACACTGGTGCAAATAAAGTAGATTCCCTCACCGTATCCCGGTTCGAGGAGTCTCCATGTTGTTTTTGTGTATAGTATTTCCCAGGCGAAGTGCGCAGACGGAGGATCTCAGAGCAGTGAGGGATTAGAGCTGAGACCTGCGAGGCTAGTGTCTTACATGCAGAGCTCCGGCCAATCAGAGCGCGGCTTACACACACACATACACAAACAGACAGAGGCACACACACACACACAGACAGACGCATACACATGCATAGTAATCTTATTCAACTGGAGACTCGAGAGATGTATCGCATGGGAATAACTACCCACCTTTTTTTGATCCATAAATACATTTTGTTTTTGCCAACAGAAAGTCACTTTTATTCAAAAAAATATGTTTTGTTTTGGTATTTTGACTAATAACAATTCATCTTGAAACATTGAATTATAAATGAGTCAATAGTGTTGCATTTTTTCCAACATATGGCTCTAAACACACACACAAACACACAGTCACACACGCAGTAACAAGACTACGGCAGTAACATGAGATTCTCCTCTGGGACAAAAACATGACCCCAGCCGGACACAGCGTTCTCTTTTGTTTTGTGGACTGTTTGAAGATGGGGGTAAATTATGCAAAAGGAAAAAATGTCTTCAAAAAGGTTTTAAAAACATTTTACATCCATGTGCTCATTAAAAAAAGAAAACTAGACTTCTTCTAGCTTTGTCAACGTCAACGTCAACGTACTCAATCACTGTTGCATGAATCTGAAGACGTCTTAAAGGGTTCTGAACCGGATTAAAGAGACTCAGTCCAGCCTAACTCAAAAATGTGTTTGTGCAAATATACAACTACAACACACCCGAACAACCATCAACACTTCAGACAGTTATCACAAACCATAAGCCAAAATAAAACTGTTTTAAACTATATAAAGAAAGGTTTGAGGCTATGGGCTTTACTCTTGTTTATGGCTTCAATTCATTTCATTAGTGTTTAGTCCTAAATGACAGCAGCTGAAGTCTCGGAGGCATTTACAAAGTTGTCGATTCCTCAACACAGAGAATCAAACAGTTCGACCCCAGGAAATGCAATAATAACAAACACATAGAAGCCAGTGCTCGTTTTGTCAATATGCAAAGTATTGTCCCTTTTGTGACTTGTGCGTAGTTTAACCTTCACCTAGCCCACATGTGAGCAACGGATTATAAAACAGCTCATTGGTTTTATTATCATTTAAATTACCGCTACAGTATACATTAGGTCGGAGTATTACTAATCATGGCTCGGCAAAGAAAAACACTTTGGAGAGGCGGGTTGAATGCAGTTATGTGTTATTTTGACGTGCCAAACCATGTTGCTAAATGTGTAAGGAAATAAATACAACATTTTGTCAACAGAATAATTTCAAAATCTATCTTTCAGCGGGGACTTCAGGCAAAGTGGGGTTAAGTGCCTTGCTCAAGAACAGCAGACATCAGTGGGAGGAGGTGGAAAAGGTCGAGTGGTGGGCTCGAACCTTCAGGCTCAAAGGCCAACGCTCTACCAATTCAGTAATTCAATTCAATTCAATTCATTCTTTATTAAGAACACAGATAGAACTGGTTCATAGATTAAAAAAAATAATAATAATAATAAAGAGACAAAAAAACATATGTATACAGTAAAATTATAAACAGGTGTACAGGCAGGACCTCCAATGCCTCCATAGGTCAGAGGAAAACCTTACAGAGCTCCTCCTTGGACAGACCAGAGCTTGGATGATCTGGTTTGACAGATTCACGGCTCTGCACATAAAAGAGTAAATACAATATCTGATGTATCGCCCCAGATTCAGATTAATTTTGTCTTGAACAAAAATGTTTGCAGCCACTACAGCTAAATCTGGTGCAGCCATCTTTTAATAAACAAACTTAAACATCTAACTTGTCTTTCAAAAGAACCACAAAAAAAAAGCACTGAAGATTGTTTTTTAAATGCACATTGTTGATTAATATCACAGTAGTCTCATCAATAGCAGGCCATAACACCTTCCATCTTGCCAATGCCAACAGTAATGTATAAATCTTATTGTAGTGATGTGTGCGTGTGTGGAATGCCTGGCGAGCTCGGAGCATGTCTGCATACGTCTGCATAGCTGTGGATTATAAGTGCATCGGTCTGAGCGTGGATTCCCCTTGGCACCTGCCCCCTCTCTCCGCCCGACGACACCCAACACCAGGGGTTTCACAGAGTTTCCGACTTCTGACTCTTTTCATTCACAACTTTAGCGAGCGGCTAATGACAGGCTGTCGCTAACCACCGCTTCCTCCCTGCACTTAAGGAGACGACACAGGTTACGGTTTGTCGGCTTAAGGTGATCTTTAGACAAAGCTTCACTGTCTTCGATGGGGGAAAAAAACGGCAAAAAAATGAAATGCGACAGCGCCAGGAATCCCAGTAGCTGTCTCACTAAAAGACGGAGGATCTTGGGACAGGTTCAGTCTCGTTGGTTTGGTTCACATCAACTGGATCAATTCTAGTTCACTTGGGGAAAATTATTATTTATTTGTGGATGGTAAATCACCAAACGAGAGGCAATTTGTCCACTAATCCCTTAACTCAGCCACATCTTTTGAAACCAATAACTATGGAGCATTTTTCCCCCAAAGTGATCCAGACTTGGTCCAGTTTAAGTGAACCAGAAGTGAGGGCTGGGTCGTGAATATGAATTGAAAACCCTAGTATACATGCAGACATTATGCATTAGATACTGATCCAAGAATTTCAATGGAGCAAAACAATTGTGTCCCCTTGATTACTCAGCTAATATGTTTAATGACAAAACAATGTGAAACAATCAAACAAAGACTCCGTTTTACACAGAGCCCTTTCTGCACTGAACTAAACTCATACCAACGCATATCAACGCCATCTTTCAAGGAAATCAATCAATCAAGTTTATTTATAAAGCACAATTCATGCAGTGCAGCCCAAAGTGCTTCACAAGAACACAAGATCATACACATTTACAAACATTTTAAAACACATAAAACGTAATATAAAATAATAACAAAAACAATAATAATTGTTGCATAAAAATAAACATTTCAAACTGAATTTCAGAATTAAAAACAGTATAAAAAGCTCAATATATAAAAGTCAGTCATATACACAGCTAAAAAGAACGGTTTTCAGCTTAGACTTAAATAATGCTAAAGATGAGGCCTCCCGTACATCCTCAGGAAGGCTGTTCCAGATTTTTGGGGCATACACCTGAAATGCAGCCTCTCCATGCCTAGTCCGGACTCTGGGCACCATCAGGAGTCCAGTCCCTGCGCTCCTCAGAGTCCGAGTTGGCTCATACGGCACCAACATGTCACCAATGTACTTCGGTGCAAGACCATGTAGAGACTTGTACACCAGCAGAGCTGCTTTAAAATCAATTCTCTGAGCCACAGGAAGCCAGTGCAGAGACCTGAGACCAATAAGATTGTCTTGGGGTTTTCTTCACTGAAACTGCAGAAGTCAGAGAGCAAGCCCATGGACTGAATCTTCCAACAAATCAATTGCAGAGGCAGTTTTACATTCACAGCCATTCAAAACCTCTATTTAAAGTTCAGTGATTCAATACATGACAATGCATGAGAAATGAAGCCACGAGTCAAAAATGTATTGTACCAGATGCTATTGGCCAGCACCGTATTGGACTAAATGTACTCATACTTATGGTTCTTATATCCAAAGCTGAACACAACAGCCTCTGTGACCACACTCATCGTCCTAAGTCTATGAACCCTAAGCAGAGGATTGTGCCAAAAGTACACAGTCCAAAATAAAGACAATTTACCTCAATCATCTTCAGTGTGGTTCATTTCTTTTTCAAGCGCAGCACAGAGACCTGGAAGTAAAGAGAAAATACATGTAAGACGCATGTAGCAGTGAATAGAGCTTTGTTTTCTGGATTATAAACTGCATCCGAAGCAAATTATAAACTGCATCCGAAGTCTTCCTTCCTCCTAAAAACGTTCCTTAAATGTCACAGACTGAATCTTTTCCACTAGAATCTGTTGTCTTGAAAGTAAGGATTAACATACCAGGAGACAAAACATCCACGCACGTACGGCACTTAAAGGAGAGCTCTGGTTAATCCTCCTTCCATCGCAGAAAACCTCCATTCATTCACTTTTGTCACGACAATCGAAAGCACTCGCGCACAAGTGGAAGCACGCACCTGGACCAGAACCTCACTCAACAAACACGTCAGAAATACCACTCAACGCCAATGGAGCTGTAGAGTAAAAAGGATAAATATTTCAAACATTTATCTTGCCTAAAGAATTACATGTTTACTATTGAACAAAAATACTAGTCTACCTGCGGGGATTCCAAGTTTCAAATAATTTAAGTACTTGTGAAATCTCTGTCTCTGCAATCTTGTCTATCTTATTTGTTATGTTGCCTTGTGGATGCGGGATCATAACAGCTGCAGGCGGGCCGCCACTTCCAAACTTTTAATCTTGTTTTATCTATGTACCTGTCAGAGTGCACAAGAAAAGTGAATCTTAACATTTTTGGCGATCTTGATGAAGCAATAGCTCTTCATTAGGTCTGACTGAGGTTTCATTTCCCAACACGCCACGTAGTAAATGCCATATTTGTTTTGGTCCAATCCCATTGCATTGCATTGTATTCTGCTGGAAAAAACAAAACATTTAACCAGAATAACCCTTCCCCCTGTTTGAAACAACACTTGACATTCTTATTTCCTATTGGCTTTTCTTATTCCGAAACGCCAATTCTATGATTGGTTCTTTGGACCCCCCGCAGACAGAGCAGTATGAACTTTTACACTCAGGACGACGCTATAGGGCTCTTGGGCGCAGGACAAAAAGGTTGGGAACTACATTTATCCCAGCAGGTGTGAAGCACCTTAACAACACTACTGCACTTTACTGCATATTTGCACTGAAACCAGCTTTGTGACATCCTCTCTTGCTCTTGTTACCTTCAATGTTGTGATTTTACTGTGTCTGCCTGTTTTTGCCCGCGGGGCAATTGCGGCCCTCTGCGGCGGCATTTTATGTGGCCCTCTGCTGCTAACACAAAGTTGACATATTTTTATTTACACATAACTTTTGGATCTTATTCTGCTTTAACTTGTTTGCACCGAGAGCCAAAGCAATTTCCTAGTTTGTGACTTATTGTTACTCACATGGCAATAAAAGAATTCTGATTTGACAGTGTCATCCAACCAACATCAGCTCCACCAATACAGTCATGCTATACCTTGCTGCAAATCTCAGACCCTCTGGAATGCAGTCGTTATTGTCACAACATTCCAAATAAAATGCAGCTGTGGTTTGAATCAATAAGGACGTATCACAATCCATTTTAAATTGCAGAATCCAGTCAATCCAGCTCAAATCCAGTTTTCTTAAATCCAGGTTGTCGGCCCCAGGTCAAGTCTGGCAACATAACATTGTCAGAGTTTCACCTTTATGTCCCATCGCTTTTAGGGCCAAGATGGAGGACAGACATTCCAAATCTACCCATGGACCGTTTGGGAAACTACTGTAGTTCCTCGAAAGTTCCAAATCAACAAATACATTTGCACTTTACTCCCATTGTTAGAAAACCAACTTCAGCGGCAGTTAACATTCTCACCGTGCAGAGGTTCTTGCGGATGACCTGTGACTGTGGCTCAAAGTGCTTCTGATCCCTTAATGACAGGACGCCTCTCGTGTCGGTGCTCACCCCACACTTTGAGAAACGCGCAGCTGTAATAACTCCTTTCACCTCCTGCGCACACAGACGAGCGCTGTAATAATCCCACAATGAATGGAAGAGCTCAGCCGACCCCAAAGCGAGCGGCTGAAGACATGCATTTAACCCCCACTCGCTCAAAAGCACCAGGAATAGTTCCCAGTGTGTAGACAGATGTTCAAACCAAATCTAAAATTACAACTATGAGCCATCGCTGCATAAAATTACAGAGAAAAAGACTGAACACGGAGGCTGTAAAGTGGGAAGATTCACCGCAAGAGAAATGTGCAACTATCACAATCTGGGAGAATTAAAGGAGTGGCATATGTGCGGAGAGTATTGGGATTCTTGACTCAAACTCGGGTCTGATATGTTACATTTTGATGAGCGGTAACTTTTGATAACAGTGTGGATAACGGAACGTCTGGCACAAGTACATTGTCGACTCCCTTCTGTCTAAATGTGCCAAACTATGAAGAAACATGGATGGAGCGGTTTTCCAGTCTTTTAGCCGCTTTGCTACAAAACAAAAATACGCTAAATTAGAGTCTAAATGACCCAGAGTTGGCCAAAATTCAGCACATTTATTTATTTATTAATCACTGAGGCGGATCAATTTGACCCAAGTGAAACACAACGGTGAAAACAGCGACTTCCAAACTTTAAAGTGTCACAGACTAGTTTAACCTCAGACAAACCCTGTACTGTCCAGTCAGTTTTACGATACTTTCCTTGCGGCCCGGGGGTTAGAGACCAAAGTATTGTAACTCAAATTAGTTTTTGGAATTTCTCCAAATATATATTAATTGCCAAACCTATTCAACGGCAAAATATTTAGGCCAATAACAGTGAAAGACGCGGACACACGAGTGAATTAAGTAAAACACTGAGCAACATTTCTCTACAGCTCCTCTCTCAGTTACCACCACATTATTGGGGCATTATGTGTTCATTTCAGTGAGAATAAATCTCCAATTACAAAACTTCCCAATTTTTCTTTTCATGGCACAGCTCTGTAACTCAAACTATGAACTGCCATCGCGATCTAAAATCCTTCAGCCTGTGTATGAAGCCGCAGTATCTGATGGATGCAGACATCTCTCTGGGGTGGAAGTAATTCTCCCTAAACAAACGGTGGAGGCATGTGGCGCGGGGCCGCAGCTTTGATCGTGTGGACACAGGGGTCGTCTCACCAAGGTGCAAACTGAGAGCGGCTGCCATATGTCCGCTGATGTGCTGATGAGGAGAAAACCCACTAAGCCTCATGTACCGACCAAACTGTAGCCCACTCACCCATCTGTGGAATGCACCGTGGGCTGTATTCAACTTTATGGGCAATTGTGAAGAAACTGTTTGAAATAAACATAAACAGAAGCTAATTTTATCATATAATTTTACTCTAACTGTATGTGCCAAGTTTCTATGCAAATGAACATTCAGGCTCCATTCAGCTTTGCAAGTTAGACTTTTTGGGTTAGGGTCCTGAAACTAGAATCTGATTTTCTTTCTTAATCTTAGGTACTCTGTTTGCACATTGTACGCATCTGTGTTGATATACTTTGTACCTTTTGTGAAAAATCAATAAAGTAAAAAAAAAAAAAAAAATGGTCCTGAAACCTGAATCTATAATTCAATTCAATTTATATTTGTATAGCCCTAAATCACAACAGCCGTCGTCTCGGAGGACTTAACGAAGTTATCAAATCACCGACAACAAACCAAACAGAATCAAATTGTTCAAACACATGAAAAACATTAGGGATCAGGATGACCAATGTCCATATAAACGTCCTTAAATGTCCTTAAATGTCCCCAATCATCACTATCTTTAGACTCTCATTTGGCAAAGAACTACTCAAAAAAAAAAAAAAGTGAGAAACCCCCAGGGAGGCCCCCATTGAGACAGGGATCCGCTCCCACGGACAGACAGGCCATAGATCCAGGACTCAGGCTGTAGAACAAGGTTTTCAAACAGTCTGTAATAAAAACTTTCTCAACAATCCCTTTACAAAGTTTATTTGTCTTGGGACAGTGTTTACTTTATCATTATCGTCACTGAAGTGTTTCTTTAGTAAAAGACACAGTCATAATGTCGTGTCCTTGCTTTGCCCTCAGTCGCCACAATCTGATATCACTGTTATTAGACCAGTGATGAAAAACAAACCGCCCACACTGGAGTTCACAGCTCATGCGGCTGATACAGAAAAAATAAACCATCGGTGTCCAGACGAAACTCCAAATCCGGATGTTTTGAGGGAATGGGCAGAAGTGACACAGCACTTTGCAAATCCAAGTCAAGGTGAGTCAAACGTGGCTCATGTGGACCAGGATTATGAGGCCACATGACACGCAGCCAGACCAGCGGAGAGAGGGGGGAAAAAATGGATAGTTTAAAGGCTTTATGTTTCAGAGCTCAAAGTCCAGCCTGTATATAAAGAGTGGAAATTAACACAATGGAATTACTCAGCTGGTGTGTAAAAAATAATGGCGTATAGGAAAATTTTGGACTCTAGGTTTTCTGGGAACCATGGTTTTAAAGCAGAGGTGGCCAGTTTTTTTTTTTTTCTTTAGGGGACAACATCATTTGGGGTCTGTCATTTTGCTTAGGACCAGACCAGTTCACACAGTTATTTAATTAAAATCAGGCACACACAGATCTGGGCCTAATAGAAATGTGAATCACTGGGGCATCTTTTTTGTTTGTTAATTGTAATTGCCATAAGTTGTTAGCCCTTAAAATAATGCAAATAAACACATGCATATAATAAAAATTAAAAAAAAGAATGAATCTCATGTGCTCTACTAGCAGGGGTGTCAAACAGGTCCTCAAAGGGCTGGTGTGGTAACAGGATTGTGAGTCCAGTCTGAACTTGTAGACCTGAAGACAAGGGGGGAGTCTGTTGTGCTCCTGCTTGGTTGGAATGAAAACCTGCAGCCACACCACACCAGCCCTTTCTGGAACCCGTTTGACACCCCCAGGCATACAGTCATCGCAGGGCTCAGATAAAGAGGATAAAAGGCAAGGACACAAACAGCAGAGCGACTGAGTGAGTTTTCTCAGTGAAGGGCAATTGCTTGTGGACTGGAGAAACATGATGCAGACATCCTACATAACGTTTTTCAGACCTGTATAGAAACAGCAATTCAAAACAAAACAAAAAATGCTGGGATACCATTGGTCCAACTTTAAACCACACAAAAAAACAACGTAAATATGTGTCTTGCTCTTTTTTATATGTGCAATGCCATACTGGAGACATGTATATTTATAGAAATGGTCATCGATTGTTGACTAAATACAGGGAGGCAGTGTGTCAGATTCATGCAGCTAGAATTTAGAATGGTCTTCCTGAAAATATAAGACAGGCTTTGACTGACAATGATCAAATCCAGGTTAAAAACAGTTCTGTTTAGCTGTGCAGACAACTGAAGGATTGCATAATCTTCTCTCTTTTTAATGGTCTGTGATTATTTATATTTTAATGCCTGGTGTGATTGATTCTATCTTGTTCTGTTCAGCACTTTTAGAAACCTTGTGTATGAACTTAATTGCTATACAAATAAACTTGCCTTGCATTCTTGGTGCTTACTTTCTACCTACTTTTTAGTGTCAGTGTTGGTTTGTGTGTATAGGTTTGTTTTTTAATATTGTTTCACATTTTAGTACTATTACTATTTATGATTTTCGTTTTATTCATTTACTTTTTTAAGACAAGGGAAGATGGCAGAAAGAAAATGACAAACACGTGCCTTACCAAGCTGTATACGTAACATGAACTAAAACCAAAACTAGACACTACAGTTTTGTTGTAAAAACGCAATAAAAATCCACATTTTGCTTCAATCTTTCCCATTTCTCTAGCCCCACACGGGAATATAAAGGCCCATACAACTAAAAAGGCACACGGGTTGAAAAATCACTGTCCTCGAATATGGAACAAGGCCAAAACCACATTACGACTTTAACCATAAGCCGTTTTAAGCAGCCGCGCTTCATTGGATTGTGATCTGTGCACAGCGTGGGCCACCTGACCGTCCCATAGACTGACCGTACCCGCCACACACTTATGCAAGGAAATCAATATACATCAGTCTGCAAAATACATGCAACAAGTGATGCAAAGTGGATGTTTAAGTGTGTGGTGTTGAGAAAAGCAGGTTAAACTTACTTCCCAAGTGTCCAAGGCAGAGGAGGAGGAGGAGGAGGAGGGATCTGGGAGTCTACGCTTGCTCCGTGTGTATTTGACGCATTTGACGTCGCTGTGGGAAAAACCTCTCGTAAAGTGCGGGTGAAACTTCCCAAAAAGATGCGCGGGAGTGAAGTGGTCGGTGTAAGGGTGTAGTTTGAGCCCAGGATCCCGCGGTGCACTCGGTCTGCTCCCACGGAAGAGCCTGTGTAGTTGTCGGCGTCCAGCGAGCGAAGAGAAGCGGCTGTGGTGGGGTAAATGTCTGCGCATGCGCGGTGTGCGGCTCTGCGTCACTCAGCGAGGGTCAGTGCGTCAGGTGCGTTTTACCTGAGGAGCGGGTCAAGGACAGGTCTGGGGCTATTTTAGCTAACTTATGCCAAGGAGAAAGGAAGTATAGACAGGTTGATACAACAATATAAATGTATATAGACTATAGTATTTTATGCTGAAGTTCTGTAACTGGTGATGCAACACTGACATTTCTCCACTGTTGGACAAATAAAGGATCTCTCTCTTTCATTCTTTCTCTCTCTCTCTTTCTTTCTTTCTTTCTCTCTCTGTATCTGAATCTGTATCTCACTCCCTCTCTCTCCCTCTCTCTCTCCCTTTCTCTCTCTCTCGCTCTCTCTCTCTCTCTCTCTCTCTCTCTTTATCTTTCTTTGTCTCTCTTTCTCTCTTTCTTTGTCTCTCCCTCACTTTCTCTCTTCTGTCTCTCACTTTCATTCTTTCTCTCTCTCTCTGTCTCTCTCTTTACTTCCCACTCTCTTTCTTTCTTTATCTTTCTTTTTCTCTACCTCTGTTTCTCTCTGCCGGTGTCTCTCTCACTTCCTTTCTCTCTGTCTCTCTCTTTCTTTCTTTCTTTCTCTCTCTCTGTATCTCTATCTCTCTCCCTCTCTCTCTCTCTCTCTCTCTCTTTATCTTTCTTTGTCTATCCCTCTCTTTCTCTCTGCGTGGTCTCTCTCACTTCCTTTCTCTCTGTCTCTCTCTTTCTTTCTCTCTCTCTGTATCTGAATCTGTATCTCTCTCTCCCTCTCTCTCTCTCTTCCTCTCTCTCTCTCCCTTTCTCTCTCTCTCTCTTTTTCTTCCTTTGTCTGTCCCTCTCTTCCTCTCTGTCTCTCTCTTTCTTTCTTTCTCTCTCTGTGTCTGAATCTCTCTCTCTTTTTTTCTTCCTTTGTCTGTCCCTCTCTTTCTCTCTGCGCGATCTCTCTCACTCCCTTTCTCTCTGTCTCTCTCTTTCTTTCTTTCTCTCTCTGTGTCTGAATCTCTCTCTCTCTCTCTCTTGTTTGTTTTGCTCTGTCTCCTCCTCCCTTTCTGTTTTTCAGGGCACATGTGTGACGGGGGCGTGGCTTGCTCATCTGCTGCTGAGAGGCCTTCACACCTGCATCATCCTCACTCTTCACCATGTCCTTAAAACACTGGTTCAGTCTCAACTTCCTCCTGTCAGGTTTTATTGTCAGGCTTAACGTTGTTTATTTTTTACTCACCATGTTTTCTTTGTGCTCAGGTCTGAACACTAAGCCTGCCAGGCCACTCCCAACTTTTTCTCATAAATACCTCTTCTTTATTCGTACAGGAAGAGTTGTAAACAAATCAGACCACAACATGATGTGTGCGTTAAATGTCTTTGAATTATTCTATTTTATAACTCAGCATTACAAACAATATTTCACAAACTGTTACTTTTGACTGTTGTAAAACTATAAATATCTTGCAGAGGTCACCAAGAAAAGCAACTTAAAAATGCAACCAAAACAACCCTTTATATTTGATTTACAAGTTACTTAGTTTGGGTTCAAAGTTGAGTAAAACTTGAAATTCTATTCTAAGTGTTGGCTTTCAACAAGACCGTCGTTTTTTGTTCTTGTTGTCTGTGACCTGTGTTTTTATTGTGTGATGTATGTGTTTATTGCCATCTCCTATGTTCTGTGTTTTATTTTATTATTGTATGACTTTTTAATTATAATATTAATTATTATCTTTAGGGAGACTATACACACCAGCCCAGGGACTGCAGATAAAAAAATGCTTTCACACGCTAATTCTGGCGCATTTACAGAAATGTTTTTGAATGCACAATGTCCCTGTCAAATAAACTAATAAACAAATAAAAATTTAAATAAAAAAACAGTGATTGGTCCAGAATATGGTCCTCTTGTTTACAGTGATCGAAGATGACCATTTTGTTGCTCGTGTTCTGTTTTGTGTTGCTCTGTTGTGTTGCTTGTGTTGCGTCTTTGCCCTCTCCTTCTTACGTTCTGTTTTATTCTGTCTTTACTTATATACTGTACCCAGCCTAAAGAGTTATTTTCACCCAACATTACTGAGACTGAAAGTGCACTATATCTGTTTGGACGGTCTACACCTGCCCGTCTCTGCCTGGAATGTTCTCTCCACATGTGATTTATGTCACATTTTGCCCCAGTTATAACATGTGAGTGTAACCTTTAGGCTAATGCAGTGTTCTCCAGAGGTTTAACTTATCAAATCAAATCAATGTTATGTGTGTGGCCTTAAATCGAGGGGCGTCACAGAACCACTGTGGACCATTCCCAGTCCTCAGGTCCAGGGAGTCCAGGGCAATGCACGGACCACATTCAAGGAACCGGGCAAATAGGCCGTGAAAACAAGGTCTATTCATCCTTATTGTTTATTGTTTGTTTATTTATTTGGGCATTTAGAAGACAAAAGAAATATTAATGTGAAGAAGAAAAAAAAAAAATAGCCCAAAAGGGAGTTGGCAGAAGCTGAAACAGCTTATCTGGGCCTACCCCCTATTGCCAATCTAATGCATAACACTTACACATACATACCTTGATATATACATAATACACATACGTACATTAATATAATACACATTTATCCATACACATATATATACACATAGACATACATATACCCACATGTACATATACATACATATAGATACACATACGTACATATATACATATTATTAATTATGAATATTATTATGTATTATTTGATATTATTTTTAAATAGTTTCTTTTTGTTCAATGTATTTTTCCAGAGCATTTATTTGAAGGTTTTTTTGAATTGTTGAATAGAGATAGAGCTTTTTGAGGCCTCGTCCAGGCCATTCCAAAGCTGAACCCCCCTCACAGATATACAGTGACCCTTAATATTAGTTCTTACATTTGGTTTTTGGAAAACTTTGGAGCCTCTGAGATGGTATGTACTCTCCCTGGGTTTGAACCGGTCTTGGATACGCTGAGGCAGCAGGTGATTATGGGCCTTATACATTACAATTGCAGTGTTTAGATCAACAAGATCGTAAAACTTTAGTGTTTTAGATTTAATAAACAAGGAATTAGTGTGTGCATAATAATCAATCAATCAATCAATCAATCAAAGTTTATTTATAAAGCGCTTTTCATACAACAGATGCAACACAAAGTGCTTTACAGTTTGGCTAAAAAACAATCCTGCCCATGCCCTCCCCCCGACCGCCCAACAGACCCTCCCCAGACCACAAGCAAACACCACCTCCTCGACCAACTCCATTACTGCCATGGATGTAGATCTTTTTGATCTAAAACCATATTGTTGCTCATTTATCAGATTATGTTTATCAATAAAGTTGTTCTGATCCTGCAGCCCGTGATGTGGCCGCTTAAAAACTGTTTTTGGATTTACTCAGATCATGTAGGACACTAACAACACAAATATTTATTTTTTACGTTGTTTGTGTTTTGTTTTTTCACCGCTTTTTTTTCCCCAAAGAGATATGTATGTACTTGTCTTGTGCACACTGGGGACTTTTAACAATGTATTCCAATGTGGTTTTACTGCAAATGGCAAATAAAAAGAATCTAATATTTTAGTTCCAAGCTTATAGATATTTTGACTCAAATGGTGATCTACCAAAGGATTGAAGAAACCATTGAAGATAAAAAAATAAAAAATTGGCAGTTGGAAAAATAATCAGTCATATGCATTTACAGCAGATGTGGATGTATACGTTCATATCAGCAAGACACATACGGATAAAATTAGGACTCGCAGAAATGTGATTAGTTTAATAACATACGTATATCCATGTCTATACTGCTCTACTTAATGTTTATTTTGCGGGTGAATGAGTTTAGTGTGACCTCTATGCAATGTGCTGTATGAATAAGAATACACAAACGAGTAGTGGAAACTTAATTAAATAACAAAAGACTTTAGATAATATTTTTATTATTATCTATATATCATTTCATATCATAATTATCTATCTCTGCCTGCCCAATAGCGCCATCTGCTGGGGACAGTCTAAACAGCACTGACTGTTTCTGTGACCTAAATATGATCCAAAGTACAGTGGTCAGGCAAGTTTATTTGTAAAGCACAATTCATTCACAGATCAACTCAAAGTGCATTTAAAAAGTCCAATAATCACTTTACAGGGGTTAGGGTTCGAATAAGTCAAAGCCATAACTTTTAAACTAAATAAAAAATGAAGTTGAGAGGACAGAAGACAGAGGATCTCAAAAGTTGCAAAAATCTTTAAAAGCCTTTTTCAAACATGGAAAGAATAAGTTAAAATCACACCTCATGTTGTATTGTTAATTACTGTGCATGGTCTCTATCAAAGGAAAAAATAACAAAAATCCTGATGTATTGTTGTCATGGAAATGTGTTTTTTTCTGTATTCCTGTTATATTCACCAGTTTTACCACTTGAGTGATGATAAAGACCATAATCGTTACTTTTAATATGGATAATGTAATTGATTTGATTGGGAGCAGTTAAATTGACGGCTCTGGGAGTTCCAGTAGTCTCCGTATTCTGGGAGTATAACTTCTGAAAACAGCTGATTTTTGGTAGATTCTTCCAAATTTAATACATACAACCTCGTCCCTTTGAGTACTATTATGTTGCCATGGAGATGATTGATTTGATTTCACCTGCATTGAACAATAACATGCTTTCATAGATATTTTTGTTTTTGTTCAAACTTTGCCTCAAACCTTTTGACAGTGAACATTTGGTTTTGTGGAGAAACCACTTTGGATTATAAATTGTACTTTTTGTGATATCGTTTTGGACTGTGGACGCACTGCTGAGACCGGACCGATGTCTGGACCGATGTCTGGACCGATGTCTGGACCGATGTCTGGACCGATGTCTGGACCGATGTCTGGACCCACTCCTTCTAACGAGGTAGCGTTAAGTCTTGTTGGATCTGGGCTGGTCAGAGCTGGGCCAGGTTCGATATTTGTGTTTTTGGTGTATGTGTAATAGAACTGTAATCTGATACTATGAAGTGATAAAGTAATATTTACCGGTTTATTATGACGTTTATTCAAGTTATCCAAGTACTTTTACTTGTACTTTTACCAGTGGCGGCTGGTGGAATTTTCTACTGGGGGGGCTATGAATATGATGACTAGATATATACCAGCAGTAAGTAAGTTTACACTGACTGTTGTGACTGAAGCCTCACACGAGAATGAAATATTTATCTTCCCAAACATAGCTAATTTGAGGGCATTTTGCATGTGGATACCAGTCTGCTCATGCTTCTTTGCCTTTTCTAAAAAGTGCTTCAGATCAGTCATACCTGTCTTGATCCATGCTGGGTCAGATCCTGATGTTTGAAACAAGAGGCATGGAAAGCAAAATAAAGCATTAGCCTCGCTACATGCTGCTAGCCAAGATTTGGCGCTGAACCAGGTCCTGGAAAAAGTACGAGTGTACCGTCTCCCCCTGTCGCTGGACTGCTGACTAATGGTAATATTTGGCTGATCAGGTCCAAGCTCTTTAACCTCAACCTTCTCCTGGTATGATCTTCTCTCAAACGGTATTGTTTTGAGTGATCTAACTGAATTATTCTTTTTCTCGTTCTCCATTTTGCGTCTCTTTACGTTCGTCTCAAACTCCCACAGCTTGACCTGTCAATCACTGTAAACGGACGTCACAGACAGTGACAGTACAGGTCGCGGGCGATCCCGCCCCCTCAGGGCGCACTTCTCCTGCGCCCCCAAATCGTCTTATCTCTTGCATTGAAGAGGAGCTACTGCGCATGTACAACTTTTAACGAGAGTCCATAGACGGCTCAGGGCGCAATCTTTTGCGCCTTGAGGCGGAAATACGTCCTCAGTCCGACCATGAGTCCGACACAGACAACGCTGATGAGCTTAATCAATCCAACTCAGCATAAACTATAAAGTATTTCTTCCACATCTGAAATAAAACACACATACATTTCGAAATATTTTAATGTTATTATTTTTTTTAACGTTTTATTCAAGGTAACATGGCAAGTTGTGAGTGGTGGGGCGGCGCCCTAGCGCCCTCTATTGGCCGGCCGCCACTGACTTATACTTAGTAAGTTTGTGTATGGACTGGCTGCAAACATGGTGGATATGCCATGGTAATAGTTGTTTTTCCTGTTTTTCACATAACAACATAAGTATCAAACATAATTCATTGTTAATATGTATTTGTAAACATTTATTTGAGTTCAATGTCACATGGTTTTGATAAAAGTAAGTCTCTTGAATTAACCTACTCTACACTTTACTCTCTGTGTAAAGTGACACGTGACTGTATTTAGAGAGGTAACTGAGTAAAAGACACATATATGTGTATGCACGTATGTGTATGTATGTATGCATCTATGTGTGTACGTACTGTATGTATGTATGTGTATGTCTGTATGTATGTGTATGTGTACGTGTATGTGTAGCTTGTTATGTGTATGTTTGTATGTATGTATGTATGTACTGGGAACGACTATTCAGAAGTCATAAGTATGTTTCATTCTGACGGACAGGACAGAAGCAAATGATAATGTTATAAAACAGCAGAGAATTGTTTGAAAGTAACTGAAACATGAACAAAAGCATTTGCAAAGTGTTCAAAGGAGAAACTGCTGCGATGATGTCACGTTGTGAAGGTTAAACTAACAGTTTTTAGAACTTTAAATCTGATCTGAGAAATGCACCAAAGCAACCTCCACAACATTGACTCATGTGTGACATCATCGCAGCAGTTTCTCCTTTGAACACTTTACAAATGCTTTTGTTCATGTTTCAGTTACTTTCATACCATTCTCTGCTGTTTTATAACATTATCATTTGCTTCTGTCCTGTCAGTCAAAATGAAACATACTTATGACTTCTGAATAGTCATTCCCTGTAAAACCAATAGTCCTCATTTCATTGCTTTGGTCATTACATACAAAATTGTGGAACTAGTTCAAAACTAAAATCTGTCAAGCTAATTTCATACATTCCTTTATTTTTTTCTGACTGAAAATCTTTCCTAAATTGAACAATCTCTCTCTGGTGAATTTCAGCTTCACTTAGGAGGAGGTGTGTGTTTTATTGTTTACATTTGTCACAGTTCTACCATAATGATATTTCTTGTATATTTGCTCTATGTACAGACATGTATGTGCCTGTATTTTTGTTGCACAATGCTGTAGAATTGCAAAGAGCAAATGCAGTAAATATGTGAAAGACATACATGCATACGTACATACAGTGCAGAGACATACTCACACACACATACATACATACATACAGTGCACAGACATACACACACATACATACATACAGTGCACAGACATACTCACACACACATACATACATACATACAGTGCACAGACATACTCACACACACATACATACATACATACAGTGCACAGACATACTCACACACACATACATACATACATACAGTGCACAGACATACTCACACACACATACATACGTACATACAGTGCAGAGACATACTCACACACACATACATACATACATACAGTGCACAGTCATACTCACACACACATGCATACATACATACAGTGCACAGACATACTCACACACACATACATACGTATATACAGTGCAGAGACATACTCACACACACATACATACGTATATACAGTGCAGAGACATACTCACACACACATACATACATACATACAGTGCACAGACATACTCACACACACATACATACATACATACAGTGCACAGTCATACTCACACACACATGCATACATACATACAGTGCACAGACATACTCACACACACATACATACGTATATACAGTGCAGAGACATACTCACACACACATACATACATACATACAGTGCACAGACATACTCACACACACATACATACATACATACAGTGCACAGACATACTCACACACACATACATACATACATACAGTGCAGAGACATACTCACACACACATACATACATACATACAGTGCACAGACATACTCACACACACATACATAGATACAGTGCATAGAGTACATGGATACACACATACTCAGTTACTTCTCTAAATACTGGCATGTGTAACTTTACTGTAGTTTTTGGCTGTACAGTGTATACTGCTCACCGAGTGTCACCGAGATCTGACTTTTTTACAGTGAAAACACAGAGTAAACTTTTACAATGAAAACATAACTGAGTCATTTCACTGTTGTTCATACTCAATGGTGTTAGGACTTATTATTTTGAGACACAGACAGTTTCATTGACATGAAGACATGCTTTTGAGGAATTCACTTTTCATTTTGAGAAAGTGACTTTTGCAGGTTTTCCACGAGGTTTTGAAGTTTCCACTAATTGTTCTGAGAAATGCACAAACAGTTGTGAAAATGTGAAGAATGATGTGAGAAATGCACCAAAGCGACTGAGAAAACTGTATTAAGAACAAACATAAGAACACAATACAAGAGTACAAATTACTGTAAATTGAACATACATTATTCCTGGACTGCCACGCCTTCTTGACTGACTGTCACACATTTTCATCTACATCAAAGTTTCTTCCCTTGAAGGCAACATATTTTGAACTAGTTCAACAATTATATATGTGATGACTCAAGCGATGAGGACAGTTACTTTTACCGAGAAAGACTATTCAGAAGTCATAAGTATGTTTCATTTGGACTGACAAGACCGAGCAAATGATAATGTTATAAAACAGCAGAGAATTTATATGACAGACACAGACACACAGACACAGACATAGACACACAGACACAGACAGACGCACAGACACACAGACAGACAGACACACAGACACACAGACACAGACAGACGCACAGACACACAGACAGACAGACAGACAGACAGACACACAGACACACAGACACAGACAGACACACAGACACACAGACACACAGACACACAGACACACAGACACAGACAGACAGACAGACAGACAGACACACAGACACAGACAGACAGACACACAGACACAGACAGACAGACACACAGACACATAGAAAAATAGACATATAATTAAGGAGGCTTTAATTTGAAGCTGCTGGTTCTGGTTCTGGTTTTTAAAGCATACCGATGGTGTAGAGCTAACTAAATCAGGCCAACATGTCTCTATTATCATTGTGTTTTACTTCTCACCTCTAAATGTAATGTTTTATACAGACACCATCTCATGTCCACTGTCCTCTGTGTTTCAGGAACCCCCCGACCCTCCAACCCCGAGACTCATCTCATGGACTAAGGCCGTGGTTCTCCATCCGCTGTGGATCTACCTCTCAGCCGGGGTCACCGTCATGAACATTGTAGCCCTCTTCCTGAACGACCCGTGTGAGCCCTGGCGAGGGGACTTCCTCATGGTGAGTGGTCTTCAATCACACGCCTGGTTCAGCCCGGGACCATAGAGGAACGTTTATGTTGTATTGACTGATCTTTATTTTCAGGTTCTTTCATTTTTTCTTTTCTTTTCTATTCTGACCCAAACAGACACAGACTCTGACCCACACAGAACCCAGACTGTTTCTGTACGAGAAGAGAACCCAGTACTGTTTATGTACTTTATTAGTCAATTTCTGGGTCGGGGGGGAGAATCAGAGCTGCCACCCAATGCTTATAGCACGAGTCCAATTTTCATGTTGATGTGCCTGAAATACCTACAATTTAAAGAGACAGTCTGTCATATTTAGATTGTATATTTTTTTTTCAATTACATCTACTTCTTGTATGTGTCCCCAGATAAGTGAGTAATATCTCTTTAAAGCAATGTACAATTGTTGTGCTTTGCAAAAAAGTGAAAAAGTTTAAACATTTGCAACAATTTGGCTAAATGTATCTCAATTTGAGCACTCTCTGACTTCCTTAAAACAAACAGACAAGCAAAATGATCTTGTTTTAAAAAGATACAAGAAATGTCTCCCTTGGAATGAGAAAATAAAGCAACAGTTCTGGGAATAAGACTAAAGGGCTTTGTCCCACAGGCAAATCTTGTTTTAAGAGTCACAATGTTCTCAAAGATTTATAAAAAGCCTGTTTCGGTGAGCAATGGTGATCGTCTCATGTCAGGACGTGTTTTATAGAGCTCTGCGATGGGGCTGGTCAGGCCATAGCCATATGTGAACTGTAGGGCTGAAACAACTAATCGATTAATCGACAACTAATCGATTATTGAAATAGTCGTCTAATAGTCGTCTAACTATTTTAGTAATCGATGAATCGTTTTCTGGTTGACACGGACTCAAACAGAGCAAAAATGACATGAAAATGTAGTATTTTTGATTAAAACCGACTTTGTTTTTATAATTTCATGAATATCTGTCTGTCTCATCCAATCAGATAGCAGAATTAGCACAAAGAGCCTGTTACAAACATTTACTTTAAGTTTACTCCATCAATACGTCCTCGAGTGTTGCCACTTTAGCTTTTTGTGATGAAAAAATAATTTTTTTCTACACAATTCACAGCCAAGCGATTACTCGATTAATCGTAAAAATAATCGATAGATTAATCGATTACAAAATAATCGTTAGTTGCAGCTCTAGTGAACTGGTCATTTCCCACATGATAATAGTACGTTGGTGTGGTAGGACCAGGCTATGACGGGGTGATATTTTTGGAATTGGACCCTTTCAGCAAGAAGCACATATCTGTGTTGTATAAAATGATGCGACAAACAAAACTTATACTGTGGGAGAAAGAGAAAACAAAGATTGTTTGGGAGAATGATGTGTGTCAGAGTGGAAATCCTGTTTGACCCATACACTGTCATCTTCCCTTTGCATTTGCCACGCCCTGATTTGGTTGCTAACCAGTGCTAACCAGTGCGCCACCGTGCATCATCATTATAATCTTTGATCTATTCTGAGCAAAAGTTGAAAATGTGAACTGCACAGTTCATTTTATGACATTTTACAATTCACAGTCTTTAAACAGCTTATCCAGAGCAGAAGAAGTCTCTTGTTTGGGTTTCTGGTTTGTGAAACCCAAACATGGGCTGGTATATCTTTATCTTTATTTTATTTGTAATAACAAAATTCACAAACAATAACACACAAAAAAACACCACACATTTCTTTACACAAAAGCAGAAATAGGTAACGATACCATAATAGACTCAGAGTTTGTACTGTTTGCAGCTAAACTCCAGCCGGTGGGTTACAGCCATGGATCTATTATAATATTACAGCATTCTCCAACATCTTCTCTTTTGTCTTTTGTCTAGAAAATGGATTTTTATTTTTGTGCATTTTTTTTTGTGGAAACGTTGCTGTTTGTCCTGGTGCAAGGCCCCCGCACCTACATCAAGAGACACTGGAACAAACTGGATCTCCTGATCCTTTTGGTGGAGTGAGTCCTACAAACATAAAGTATTTGAGTGAATTAATTAAATTATGTATTTTTAGAATACATAATATGTTATTGCTTTGCTTGGAATGTCACTCACGGTCTATAGTTTAAAATGCACACACACTGTAACTCAAAGCTTTAATTCAATTCAATTAAGTATATTTTGTATTGCCCGAAATCACTGCAGCAGTCATCTCTGAGGACTTTACACGGGAAATGCAATAATAACAAACACATAGAAGGCATTGTTCCATAGGGAGCGGGAGGACCAACGTCCATAAATGTCCATTATTGTCCTTACATGAATCTGTAATGCTATCTTCAGTCCTGACTCCGGGCAGTCCCTGTGCTCCTCAGAGTCCCCAGTTGGTTCATATGGGACTAACACTTTGGTGTAAGACCATGGAAAGACTTGTAACTGCTTTAAAGTCTATTCTCTGAGCCACAGGAAGCCAGCGCAGAGACCTGAGGACTGGACTAATGTGACTGAGCTGCAGCTGTTTTAATCTAATCTTGTCTTCTGGGCTGCAGGCTGATGAGTTTTCCCGTCTGGTACGGTTACGGGATGGACTGGTCTGTGGTTCTTGATCCGCTGAGGCCCCTGCGACTCTGCGGCCGGATCCCATGTGAGTGTTTTAGTAATTAATCTTACACCAATCCATTTTTGTCACCGGGACATGTTAGTACTGTACATTAATAGAATATTGTAACATTGTTTTTTTTGTTTTTTTTTTAACCTTTTTTATTTTGTGTCTAGTCCTGGTCCAGACTTGTTTTAGTCCTAGCCAAACCAGAAGCACACATCTGTTAGTAAGTACAAACAGTCAGGTAAATGTAGTCCAAGTCTGGTCCTGGTACAATCCTATGTTTCATTAAAAGAAGCTTTGATTCTCACCCATAAAATATTGATAAAAAATATATATCCCAAAACCATCTGGATTGGCCCAGCACCCCACCACTCTCCTTATTGGTCAAACAGAACTTACACAGCCTGGGTGTGAATCTACAGTCAATAGTCGTGAAAAGAACAGAAGGAAGTCGTGAAGGACACTCATTGAATGAGAAAGTGTGTCCAAACTTTTGGTCTGTACTGTATATTCAATGTATACTAAGGTATGTATAGTTATGTCATTCAAAGTTAGAAGATGTGTATAGAAGATAGAAACTACATGGAGTCCAAGTATTTTTGTTGTATACGATTGTGTTTCCACAGTCCTGCGTCAGTATTTGCGGATTATTGGAGAAGCCCTCCCCACGTTTGCTCATGTGACCGCCATCTTCTTGTTCATTGGCTTCATCTGCAGCATCATATCAGTGAAACTGTGGAAAGGAACACTACACAACCGCTGTTTCCTGAACGATGATTCCGAGTGAGTCACACACAATTCGACACAGAAACACACACACACGCACGCAAACAGTACACACACATACTGCACATACAGACACACGAAGACACAGAAAACAAACAAACAAACAAAATTGGCGGGTGATGCAGACATAACTGAATCTTTTATAACTGTCCCTGCTCTATTCTGGTCATGTAGCTAAAATCTGGAACAGTCTTACCGAAAATGTGAGACAGGATTCTTCTCTGACAATGTCCAAATCCAGGTTAATTACACTTCTGTTTAGCTGTGCATTACAACTGAGGGCTTTCACCTGGACTATTTTAATGTACTTATGACGTTAACGCCTTTCTAGCACTTTGAGTTTCCTTGTGTATGTACTGTGCCATACAAACAAACTCGCCTCGCCCTTTTCCACAGATTGTTCCTGACACTGAACAACATCACGATCAGCCCGTTCTACAACAACCCGAAGACCAAGCTGTACCTGTGCTCCACAAGTGAACAACGTGGCCAACAGTGTGAAGACCTGCCCTCCTTCGCCAACCCCAACATGTCGTGTCGCCCTGACGACCGCTGGACCAACCTCTCGCTGCTGCGCCCCAACCTCCTGACCAACGAGTCCTGTCTGAACCTAAACCGCCTCTACAACACGTGCAAGCGCGGCCCGTCCGCGCCCTACCGGGGGGTGGTGTCCTTTGACGACATCGGCCACGCCCTCATCGCCATCTTTCAGGTGAGCAGCTTTTGTTTACCTTGGAGTGTTTGCCATTTGAATTTTTGCGGTTTGCGTTTTAGACGTTTTAGTTTTTGCCGTTTTAGCTCTTGCCGTTTGCGTTTTTGCCGTTTTAGTTTATGCTGTTTGAGGTTCTGCTGGGTTGGGGGTCAAGAGACCTTGATCTTCCACTGTGCAAAGCGAGGCAAGGCAAGTTTATTTGTATAGCACAGTTCATACACAAGGCAAAGTGCTTTAAAAAACAAGATAGAAAAGGCTGAAGATATCATCCCTAGAATAGAATCCCTCAGTTGTATGCGCAGCTAAGCAGAAGCGTTTTAACCTGGATTTTAAGACTGTCTCACATTTTCAGGATGACTATTCCATATTTTAGCTGCATAAATCCTATTCTCTGAGCCACAGGAAGCCAGTGCAGAGACCTGAGAACTGGACTAATGTGGTCGTACCTCCTAGTTCTAGTCAAGACTGGTGGGGTTGAGAAACATACTGTATGGTAATATTCCACCGTAATGTATCTTATGAGAAGTACTATTCGTCTAAGAATAGTACTTCTCTAATAGATAATTTGCCTTGCCTCTGCCCTTGTTCTACATTCTGATTCCTGGATCTTTAGCCGGTCCGTTCCCTTGAGCAGACCCCTCTCTCAAAATGGACCCCCCAGAGATCTCTCTCTTTTCTCTCACTGGGTTTTTTGCGTCCTTGTCAATGCCGGAGGGTCTAACAACGGTGGTGATGATGATCCAGGACTTTTATACATTTATTAACATTAATGGATATTGATCATTCCCTCTCTGTGAACATAGTTTGATTCTCTAATCTATTGTTGGTGAATTGACAACTTTGTAAAGTCCCTGGAGGTGCCTGCTGTTGTGATTTAGGGCTGCACAGAGATGAATTGAATCGAACAAATACATAAATATTGATTGACCATTATTATCCATATTTAATATATCATGATATAATAAGTTCATGATTGCTATAACATGGACTTTTGGCCTGGCTGAACTACACGTTCAATTGTGTAATGTCTGCAAGTGATGTTTTGTCCAAGAGAGAATCATTTCTTTGACTTCTTTTCCCTCCAGGTGACGACGCTGGAGGGCTGGTCCGAGGTCATGTACTTCGTCATGGATGCCTACTCATTCTGGAGCTTCATCTTCTTCATTGTTGTCACTCTGGTAATGTCCTTATTTGACCTGCCGCCTGGAGACCTCGAGCAAAGACATGACTGATGATATGTTCCCATACATATGTAATCTGTCATGTCATGTCGTGTCATTGTCTTTCCCTTTATTAATCCATTTCTGGGTCGGGGGGGTGGGGGGGGGGGGGGGGGGGGGCGGCAATCAAAGCTGCCACCCAAGTCTCATTGCACCAGTCCCTTGCTGATCCTCCTCCAGGTGGTGGGTCCATGGGGCCATCTCGTTGCTTCTCCGTCAGCAACGAGATGACCTTGGTCTTTCAGGCCTTCAGGCAATGTGGGGTAAAGTGTCCTGCCCAAGACATCAGTGGGAGCAGGCGAGGTGGGCTCGAACCCATGACCATTAGGTCCAAAGACCAGTACTCTACCAATGAATTATGGTAATCCCATCTTCAAAAGCAGAGACGAGCATCAATTTACTAATTATAGGCCAATTTCATTACAATCTCATTCACAAGTCTAATCTCGAGCTTATCTCACTGGTAAAGTAGCATGTGGTAAAGTAGCATGTGGCCGCAGAACTAAAAAAGGTCAAAACAATAAATAAATCAATTAAACTTTATTTATAAAGCGCTTTTCATACAATACAATGCAACACAAAGTGCTTTACAGCTGAGTCAATATCAATACAACATGCCCAATAAACCCCAGACCCACCCATAGACCACCCTAATTATTAGATATACATCGAGATGCATATACCCGTACACACACACACAGACACACCCACACACACAGACACACACACACACACACACACACACACACACACACACACGCACACACACACACACACACACACACACACACACACACACACACACAGACATATAAAATCACATCAGACAGGTAAAATGGGTAAAACTATGAAAAGTTTTACCTATGAATGCCTTTTATTGATTATAGCTCTGCTTTTAACTGCCTTGTCCCAGGTAAACTGATTGAAAAGCTCATGTCTCTCGGTTTAAGTGTTGCCATGTGTAAATGGATTTTTAGCTTTTTAACTGACAGATCTCAGAGAGTGAAAATCAATGAGTGTTTTTCTGATGTTGTTTCTGTGAGCACTGGTTCTTCTCAGGGATGTATTTTGAGTCCTTTGCTTTTTACTTTGTACACTCACGATTGTGTGTCCTCCTCTGACTCAAACTTGATCATCAAATATGCTGATGACACCACCATCATCGGTCTCATCAGTGACAATGATGAATCCTCTTATAGAGCAGAGAGTAAAACTAACAACCTCCAGTTGAACGCAAACAGGAATGCAAGTTTCTGGGTTTAACTCTGTCTAACGACCTGAAATGGGTTAAAAACACTGACCGAGTCGTTATGAAAGCTCGTCAGCGTCTCTACTTTCTGCGAAAACTTAGAGAATTTGCCACTAACTTTAAGATTCTGCTTAACTTTTATCGCTGCACCATTGAGAGTTTACTTGTTGGTTCTGTGTCTGTGTGGTTTGGAAACCATCCATCCATCCATCCATTTTCTTCCCCGTAATCCATTTCTGGGTCGGGGGGGGGTGGCCAGAGATGCCACCCAGTACACAGAGCACCAGCCTCTCACTGATCCTCCTGCAGGTGGTGAGTCCACAGGAGCTGAGATCTTTCAGTGGGAGCTTCAGGCAAAGTGGGGTTAAGTGTCTTGCCTAAGGACACAACGACAGCAGTCATCAGTGGGAGTCGTGAAGTAGGTCTTACGGTGGGCTCGAACCCACGTCCTTCAGGCTCAAAGGCCAATGCTCTACCAACTGAGCTACTGTCGCCCCGTTGGTTTGGAAACATCACAGATAAAGAAAAGAGAGCTTTAAACAAGGTGCTCCGCTCTGCAAAGAGGACCGTGGGTTGTGAGCTTCCTGTTCTGGAGGTTCTTTATAAATCCAGACTTTTAAACAAAGCTCTTAGGATTGTTAATGACTCTTCTGGCCACCCTGGGAAAGCCATGTTCCAGCTTCTTCCCTCTGGCAGAAGATATCGCTCTCTGAGATGCAGGACATCTCGACTTGCTAACAGCTTCTTCCCACAAGCTGTTATCTGTTTGAACAGAGCACTTTAATGTTCTTGCTCTTTGTATTGAAACTGTTTTAGTCGATCGATTTCAGTGACATTTGTCTGTTTTATTTGTTTTTTTTTCTGTACTTTTAATGTGTTATGTCTGTATTTGTCTGTGCACACTGGAAACTTTTGCTAATATATTCCAATGTGGTGTTTTTACTGCAAATGTCAAATATAAAATGAATCTGAATCTGAAAGATATGATATAACAAGGAATAAGGAATAAAAAACAAAACAAGGAATATAACCAGGAGATCTATCTTTGTGAAAAAGGTGTTGGTTATAGATTTGTTGTTGACAAAACTCTTTGTCAGGGAGAGTGCAGTACCACCTTTGGCCAGATTTTTTTTTACATACTGTGTCTTGCCCAAGGACGCAATGACAGGAGACATCAGTGGGAGTCTGTGGAGAAGACTCTACCAACAGAGCCACTGTCCAAGGGAGACCTTTCTTACAACTTGTATAACTATAAAATCATTTTGCTTTTGTCCCATTGGCAATTTCTGTTTTATTGCAGTCAAAATGTGCACATATTAAGCTACATTTCGCACAGTCTTAGCAACGTTTGACCTATTTTTCATCACTTTCTGCAGTTATTTGCGTTAAAGCGTGTCCTGTGTTGTCTCAGATCGGCTCGTTCATCATGTTGAACGTGGTGGCCGTGGTCATCGCCACACAGTTCAGCAAGAGCATGCTGCAGTCGCCAGTGGAGCCCCCCTCCTACCTGGACACCAAGGCCAAAGACCTCCTCCACTTTGTCATAGATCTCTCCCAGAAGCTTAACCACAATTACAGGTACAAGTGTATTTATTTTATTAGTTAAAATGTATTTATTTTATTAGTTTATTTGAATGGGGATAGTGCACACTATAGAACATCACTGTAAATGTGTCAGTGTTAGCTATACTGATAGGCAAGGCAAGTTTATTTATATAGCACAATTCATACACATGGCAACTCAAAGTGCTGAACAAAAATAAGAAAGCATTAAAATCATAAATAATCACAGTACATTAAAAAGAAAGATAAATATAAAATATACAATCCCTCAGTTGTATGCACAGCTAAACAGAACTGTTTTTAACCTGGTTTTAAACATTGTCAGAGAGGAGGCCTGTCTCACATCTTCAGGAAGATTGTTCCCGATTTTTGCGGCATGAATCTGAAAAGCAGCCTCCCCATGTTTAGTCCTGACTCTGGGCACTAACAGGAGTCCAGTCCCTGTGCTCCTCAGAGTCCGGGCTGGTTCATATGGTACTAATATGTCACTAATATATTTTGGTGCGAGGCCATGGAGAAACTTGTACACAAGCAGAGCTGTTTTAAAGTCTATTCTCTGAGCCACAGGAAGCCAATGCAGAGATCTGAGGACTGGACTAATGTGGTCGTACTTCCTGGTTCTAGTCAGGACCAGTGGGGGCGGGTCCTGGCTCAAAAGTGGCCAAAATAACGTGCGCTGACATGCTTGCAATACCATCGTGGGCCTGTGGGGGTGGACCCAGAAGAAGAATTAGCCAATGCTAACATATAGCATTGGCAGACCTCTCAAAAACGTCTTTACAGGATGGACCAAAAGTTGGCTCTTGGCCGAAAGCTCCGTTCCACATGTGTGTCAATGCTGAGGGGGGTGAATTTTTTTGGTCCACTCTAGTTGACTCGCTGTGAATCTTTGAAGTCTCTCGTTCAAATGAATGGAGTTGCGCCGGCTGACGCATGCGCAGATGCGTTTTTTCAGTATTTTCTTGTGGGCGGGACCACTCGCGGCCATTTTGGATTGCTCCAGTAGAGCACATTTTTTGGCCCATTAGTTAGAACGGCGGAGATAGGCGTGACTCTGTCCGTTAATATATACAGTCTATGGTCAGGACTCGAGCTGCTGCATTTTGAATGTACTGCAGCTGTTTTACAGCCTGTTTGGACAGACCTGTGAGCAGGACAAATGTATGGATAAGAATGGATAATAACTGTGGTCTCTATAGTCCCTAAAATGCCAAGGAACAAACACTGAAAACCTTCAGGGGTGTCAAACTCATTTTGGTCATGGGCCAAATAAAAACAACAGGAACTGGTCGGGTTGGCCAAAAGAATGGGATATTTACATTATGAAGGTCTTTTGACATTACTTTTATGTGACATGAGTTTCTCAATTATTTTCTCGTTTCGGCTGTCACGATGTCAGACTTTACAACAAGAACAACTGACTCGCAAAAAACGTGCCATTCACCTGTTCTGATAATCCACTAGTCACTTTACCTGCTGCTATTTTTACTATTGTTTACTGCAGTCATATACTCTGCTGTTTTAAATACAACATACACATCTGTGAATACGTCCTGCTGACTACAGTGTGTACTCTAGTGACTGATCCTTGACCCGAGTGCAATCTCAGCTCCGGAGTTTTATTCTGTTATCCTATTGTATTATGGGTTTACTTTGTTCACACTAAAGGGTACAGAAGTGTGACAAAAGGCCATAAATTAGATTTGAATAATTAGAAGCTATATTATGTTTTTCATTAATCCAAACATCTCTTCAGTCCATTTGAAGTTGTTGAAGATAACTGTTTTATACATTAGTCAAGTTTCCTGTAGCGGCTCTGTTTATTAAAACCAGACAATAATTTTTGACAGAAACCATCACATCCGTTACACATCTTTCAAGGGTCGTTAAATTTGTATGATTTTTTTGATTTACTGATGTTGTGTTAATGTTAATCTCAGGGAGTTCATCTGCCGCTTTGTTACTGATGACCTTTTCTTCTGCAGGCATTTGTTTGAGAACGTTTTCTATGTCTGCTGTTCCGCGTCGTGGAAAAAGATTAAGGTGAGTGTGATTGGTTACTTTGCCTTTAGTTTGGTGAGAGAACCGTTGTCAATCATACTTTGGTCAATCATACATCGGTTTGTAAACAGTAATGCACAGGAAACACTGCTGAGGGCAAATCTAAATCAAATCAGTGTGTTTTTGTAGATTGAATATTTTATTGTCATTGTCACAAAAAACCACAAATACCTTTTGAGCATCATCCTAATTACAGAGCGTAGAAAGTGGAGGCAGAGTAGCAAAACTCAAACATGATGTAAGTGACAATGTTAGCTGCCACATGCACGACCAGTTCAGTTATGGCACTTATGTAAACATGGAGGATAACAGGGGTCCAGGAGGGTGAGGAATAAGTCAGTAAGCAATATTTATTTATATAGCGCATTTTACAGACCAAGGTCCCCCAAAGCGCTTCACAATGTTCAGAATTCAGATATGTTCCCATTCTCTCCCCCCATGGTGAAGACGTAAGCAAGACGCCGAACACACTGGTGCATCAAAGCCCCCAAACAAAACCATTCACTCGCTCTTTACATTCAAGGCAAGGCAAGTTTATTTGTATTGCACAATTCATACACAAGGCAAGTGCTGAACAAAACAAGATAGCATTAAAATCATAAATAATCATAGTACATTAAAAATAAAGATAAAAATATAAAATTCCTCAGTTGTATGCACAGCTAAACAGGACTGTTTTTAACCTGGTTTTAAACATTGTCAGAGAGGAGGCCTGTCTCACATCTTCAGGAAGATTGTTCCAGACTTATTGTACATGTTTTTAGTGGTAGGGGAAACAGGAGCACCTGGAGGAAACTTACACAGACACAGGGAAAACATGCAAACTCCACTCAGACAGGCCCTGTTCCGCCCGGGATTCGAACCCAGGACCTTCTTGCTGAGAAGCGAGAGTGCTATACACGCAGCCACTGTGAGGAGGGGGGTTGTGTTTATTGAGCAGTCTGACAGCCCGGCGGTAGAAGCTGCGGGCCGGTTTACTGGATGGGAGTGGTCTCTGATGTGTGTGTGTGTGTGTATGTGTGTGTGTGGTTCTGAATGGTCCTCTGTTCTTTTCAGGCTGTGGCCGCGTCGATCCTGGAAACCGAATTGTTTTTTGCCGTGATGTCGGTGAACGTGGGCCTTTCCATCTTGATCCTGGCCGTGGAACATCATCGACCGGTGCGAGAGCAAGAACCCAAACACACACACACACACAATATAAGTCAATAAGTTGCGTTCATTTGACATCACAACATTACAAAGAGCCTATCGTTTATAATGGTGGTGGAGGGTCGCTGAAAATAACCATAACGGTTAACCAAAGTTCTATTAAAAGAGGACAAATTGCCGTACTGGGATTCTAGGATAAATTGTTCCTTACATAGTTTATCTTAACTCAACTGGATATTTTAGTTGAGAAAGAAAATATAATCACATACACACATATACTTTATATACACACACACAAACACAAACACACACACACACACAACCTTCAGTGTTTCCTTGTGTCCCGCAGCCGATGTGGCTCAACAATGTGGAGGAGTTTTACCGAACGTTGACCAATGCGGTGTTCATCGTGGAGCTGGTTCTGTGCCTGATCGCTCAGTCCTACCACTACCTCCTGGACTTCTTCTCTTTCCTCGACTGCATGATGACCGTTACCAGGTGACAGAAACCATATGACAGCAACCATGTGACAGAAACAATTGTGAGAGAAACCTTTGAAATAATGTGTGCAGAGATCATCAGAGAGAGACCAGAGAGAGAGAGAGACCAGAGAGAGAGAGAGAGACCAGAGAGAGAGAGAGAGAGACCAGAGAGAGAGAGAGAGAGAGACCAGAGAGAGAGAGAGACCAGAGAGAGAGAGACCAGAGAGAGAGAGACCAGAGAGAGAGAGACCAGAAGGAGAGAGATCCTTTATTTGTCCCACAGTGGGAAAATCACAGGTTGCAGAACAGTAGGAATGAGGAGCACACACAGCACTCAAAACGTGAACAATATCTCAATCATAAAATAAAATCTCTAAATTATCACAATAAAGAAGTAAGGATCAAAATACTGTATATTCTAGTGCAAGAAATATATGTTGTATGTACATGTCTGTATCTGTACATGTCCGCAGCATGAGGGTCTCGAACAAAGTGGCTCAGTAAAGTAACTAATGTATACATGTGCTGGCATTAATATGTGTGTGCATGTTTTAAGTGGCTTCCATTTTGAGTGTTAAACTTAAACGTATGTGTGTGTGTGTGTGTGTCTGTGTGTGACAGTACCCTGGAGATGATTCATCCGTATCCTGGAGAAGTGACGTCGCTGCTGAGATCGTTCCGTGTCCTGCGTCTGCTGAGAATCATCCGCTCGCTGCCGTATCTGCGCAAACAGATGGACATCCTGGTAAAGACCGTCAGAGAGGCCGTGCCCCTGCTGCTGATGATCGTACAGCTGGTCATTGTGTTCAGGTGACAACACAATAACACACACACATCAGACACACACACACACACATCAGAGAGGCTGTGCCCCTGCTGCTGATGACAGTACAGCTGGTTAATGTGTTCAATATTTGATACACACACACAACAACACACACATGTATACACAGTTACGCACACACACACACACCAACACACGCACGCACAACAATACACACACACACACATACACGTTTTTGTTACCTGGTGGGTCCCTTTGACAGGGCCGATCAGAATGGGACCCATAGACATAATCTTTTTTACTGGGACTACTTTAAGTAATAGAAAACAGTCAATAGAAAACAAACAACTCTTTTAAAGGAATTTGATTTTTGATTTTTTTTTCCGAATTGCAGTGATTCTATTTTTGACATAGAATTTAATGCCACTCCATGTCCGATGTCTAAGGTCATCTGGTGAGGCATTAATGCAGGCCAGGCAGTGAGACTTCCCAGGGACTTTTCCAGTCTGTATGAAAGGTGTCATGGTCTTCTCCACAGCCTTCACCTCAGATGCAGACCATGGCTTTCTTACACGTTCTAGGGAGAGAAATAAAAATATATTAGCAATATACACTCCCAGGGTTAGGACCAAGCAGCCTGGCTGTAATCCCCCACCTGGTACACTTACCAGAAGGGGCACTGCCACTACCATGGGGTGCATCTGGATGAATGGTTGAAGGTTCTCCGCTTTAAGTTTCTTTTAGCCCGTCCGTTTGTGAGAGGTTCTCTACTGCTCTCCCTGTAGCACAGAAAATAAAAATACAAGAGGCCTTTAGGGGAAAAAAATTATACATATTTTAGTAATATCAAGAATTACCTTCAGGCTCAATTTGTATCTGGTCGAGGCTCTTTCCTTTGAATTCCGTCACTCTTCCCTGCTCCATGGCCATTAACACTTTGCTGATTTTGGCCAGCTCCAGTGTCCCCTCTGGTAGTCCGTAATATTGCCTGTGGATGCGAATGTCATGGCCGAGGAAGTTGGCAAGTATGTCCATCTCATTCTCTTTCATATTGAGAACTGTAGACATAGTAGCTATGTGCTTTCTAAGTTTGGTTGAGGATAGCATCTCTGGATGCACCGCACCACATTCTTTGGCTACCTGCCGTAGGGAGTCTGATCCCCTGATGTGGGTGTCTGCGCCCGGGCGGGAGAAGAAGTATGGGTTATGGTCAGAGATGGAACAGGCCCTTCTGTTCTCCACCAGCACCTCCATCGAAGCAATCATTTCAGGAGTCAAAAGAACCGGCACGTTCCGACTTCTTTTCCCTTTAATTTCAATGCGTTGAAAATGCTGACACAGCTTTTTCTCAAGTTGGGACAGTCCCAGAGCAATGTCAGAATGGATCCCAGTCTTACTTGTTAAGGTAAACGCTGTCAGTGGCATCTTTGAAACCTCACCTTCCCTTTTTTGATTGAAAATAATGACCTCACAAAGAGTCAAAACTGCCAGTTTAGACCAATGCTTAGAGGTTGGCTCACTTATTAGGGTTTGCACATATTCAGGTTGACATACCTCAATATGTGCATGCATGGCTCTAACGTCCTCAGTCAGAGGGAGCAGGTCCGGAGTGTTCCACTTGGCTTGCCGGAGGGTCTGTAGGGCAGCAGAAGAAACACAGACGTCCCACCTCTTCTCAAAAAGCAGCCGGCTTCGTTGGAGGTTTTTAATAAATAGTTCATCAACACAATGCTCCATTTTTGAGTCACATTCAAGAATATCTGCTAGCTTTCTGAGGCTATGGCCGAGTTTGAGGGCCATGTATTGATTTGTTTCCTCATCATATCCAGCCACAGACCTGACTGCATCAATCACATGGTTAAAGTTGGAAGGAATAAAGAAATCCTTAATTGTTTTCAGTTTCCCTGCAGTTTTTGCTTCGTTAATTAACCTACCGACTTCTCTCATTTTCTGCCTAATGTAATCATGCTTAGTCTTATCATGCCCGTGTTTTAAGTACAGGTGCTCTCCGAGTCTCAGAATCCCCTTTTCTGCTTTGACAACACCCGTGACCTCATCCTGATGCATTGCCGAAATTAAAGACCACAGCTTTTTGCTGATGCCCTCCGGTACAGGCTGGGCTAGGGAGCAGAGGGACTGGACCCTACTTCTACCTGGTTTAGCCTGGGCATCTTTCTGTGAAAGCCGGCACCTGGCCACATGCCTCCACAGCCACTTTCGCTTAAGCAATGCCCCACAGTCTATACAGTGCAAAAACTCACTGGATTTAACTGGGCAATTTGGCTGTTTTGCTGGGACTAAAGTTCCAATGCCGGCCTTTAAAACCTCAAAATTGTGCTCACGGTTTCCACTATTCCTGATCAAATCAAACTGAAGTTTATGTGCTTTGGATTTCACATGTAGAGCCAATGCTCTGGCTACGTCACTTTCATTTCCATGTTTTCTAGTCAAATGACGGGACATTTTGTGGCAGGACATTGAACAGTAGAGGCAGAAGTGCCTCTTGCTGTAAACTCTCCCCCCATTTTTCTTCTTTTGCAGCTGCATGATAACAATCTTATTTGCCTTTGGTTCGTCACTTTACGAGTCTTGAAGAAAAGTGTTTTTGATTTTTCTTTTTCCATACTTTTTTACAGGTTTCTTCTTGACAGTTAAATCGTCAGAATCTGAGTCGACTTCATCAATTAGGTACTCTTGACTAAGCTGCACAAACAACAAATAATTTGTAATAATTCTATATAACAATTTGAAGTCATGACTTGTAGTCAGCACTTACCAGTGGTTTGTAAGCGTGCGCTTCAGTGTGCTCCTCCATGATTTCTTGCAGCCTAATGAACCACACACTTGCACCTTTTCTAGCCTGACACCTGATTTCCTCTGTTGTGCTGCTCCATGATTGGCTCCAGCCTGCTGGACTGAAATTGCCCCAGTGTGCCCCTCCTTGATATCCCGCAACCCACCACCAGGGTTCCGACACATAACACACTTTTTTCAGGAAAGTAAACCTCCAGGGGTCCTGTCCATATTTTTACAGAGACTGCATAAGGACCGTTAGAAAAGCATTACCCATTGATTATTAAGCTTGGACCAGTGGGGTCCGGTGTTCGGGCCCCACCACGTAAAATCAGTCCCCATGACGTGAGTGGAATCTCAGGTTATGGAACCCACCAGGAGTTGAAAACAAGTGCACTGAAGGATGGACTCATATACATTCTTCTTCTGAATCAAAGTAAACCAACTACGTTTAGAAAATACAGTTTCGGAAAAAAAAAAGTTTTATTATGTAGTCGTTGATATGAAAATGTAAAAGTCTAAGATGAAAATTCCTCTCCCGCAGTCTGCTCGGGATGCAACTGTTCGGCTGCAAGTTCAAGTTCCTGTTGGAAGGCGGAATGTGGCGGAAAAACTTCGACCATCTGAAGTGGGCCATGGTCACGGTGTTCCAGGTCAGTGGGACTGAGTTCATGGTATCTCTGTCTGCTCTGAGGGTTTCTAGTGTAATAATTATAATTAAAAAAGAAAAGTGACTAATTAGATGCTGTTGATTCTTTTCTGTTGTGTTGCAGATTCTCACGCACGAGGACTGGAACTACGTGATGTACAACGGCATGGTGAGTGTGGCGCCCGCTGCCGCCCTCTACTTCATCATCTTGATCTTTTTGGGGAAAAACCTGTTTCTCAACATCCTTGTGAGCATTGTGGTCCACAACTCCCGAGTCCTGGTGAGTGGCCTCTCCTTATTTCCACATCTTACTCCTCTCAGATCCCAAGGAAAAGTAAAAAAAACAAAAACACTTATTTATAGTCAAACCACATTTATGGACTCTGCCCCTTGGACCAATGGCTGTGTGTTTTTCATCATTGCATTTCTTGCGTTTGAACGCAAGAAATGTCCTGTGTCGACTTGGTATCACGTCTTTACTCCGGACCAAAGAACCAACCGTTTCTGTGACGACTCGATTCAAAGTGTGGATCCACGCTATACTTTCAAAGGATAATTGTGATTTGTCTTGTTTCAGCAAACTCGCTCTCGTGATGAAAGACAAGAGAAGATCAGAGATCAGGTGACGCACACACACACACACAAGGACACACACAGACAATGACACACAGAAACACATGTTCTGACGCGTGTCTTTTTGACTTCCACCTGGACCACAGAATGAGAACCCTGAAAACCCGGACGAGACCAGAAACCCCCACAACCCCACCGGAGGCAGGGCTGGCCTTCACCGTTGGCTCTTGTCCTGTACCCCACAATGGCTCCAACACAGATGGGACCACTCACTCTTCCTTTTTGCCCCAGAAAACAGGTACATCAATCACATCATCTATAGTATAGAGACTGGACCGAGATGTGGACTATGTGGCATCACTGTTGAGGCAAAGATGATTCCTCCTGTGTGTCTCCACAAACCACAGACTAAATATTAGCGGTTCTATATTGGCCCCTATAAGACGAGTAATACACAATAACATAACACAATTCCACAGTCACCACGGTCATTGACTCTGTAAGAAACAGTTTATCTTGAATAAAAGCAGCACCGGTGCAATCTAATTCTTCTCCTTTTGTTTAAGAATGGGCACAGGTCACACAAGGCCCACAGTATTGTCTTGTGGCTTGGTAACTGTACATTTTGGCTCCTACATTTGAGTCACCATTTAAGTAAAAATGCGAGTAGACCAGGCCGACCCAGACCGGAGCATCCACACCTGGAGATTGCCGGTTTCTCTTGAGGGAGTGGTTGAAGGATGACTTAAATGCAGAGGACAGTTTTCACAATAAGGCCCAAGATGCGAAAGATGTTTAAAAAGATATATACAATATATTAAAATTCAGGTACAGTGGTCCCTTGTTTACCACTACACACTACTGTTACATACAGGAAGTAGCTTTCAATAATCCCATATTGAAAACAGTTGCTCCTCTTTGCGTGACACAGACAAGTCAGATTTACTGGAGGAGAATAGTTAAACCAATGACGAGGGGCCTCAAGAATATGATTTCATTTCGACCAATCAGGAGGCTGTGGAGGGGAGAATGGGCAGGTCTAACCGATCAGAACCTGGCTTCAAAAGGTTGCACTGATATTTCAATTAATCACAAACAGGAGTCGTTTTGGAGGACTTTACAAAGTTGTCGATTCCTCAACAATAGTTCAGAATCAATCAGTTCGAACACAAGAAATGCATTAATACCAAACACATGGAGCCGATGACCAATGTCCATGAATGTTAAAAAACGTTCTTAAATGTCCCGGACCATCACACCCTTTTCCAATTTGAAAAGTAGCATTAACCGTGACATCAACACAGACTGTGCTGAAGTTGTATATGCTCGTTTATAGTTTTTTGTACCTGTTTAACCACTGACGTATTCTGCCTGATGTCACAGATTCCGCCACCTGTGTAAGACCATCACGTCCTCTGTGTTCTTCGAGAAATTCATCTTCCTCCTCCTGGGTCTCAACTGCATCATGCTGGCTCTGGAGCGTCCCAGCATCACCCCCAGGAGCACAGTACGACACACACACACACACACACGACCGTTGTATTTTATATTTACTCAGTGTTTTGATCTAAAGAAGCAACATCAACTTTTGACCATGTACTGTTTTCCCTTGTCTTTTACTCAAACCACAGACTGAATAGATGGACAATGCTAACCCGCTAGCTTGGCACCTATTGACTTAGATTGAAAAGTAAACTCCTCTAGCCTAGGAACCATCATTTCCATTAGTCTCCAATAATCCCTAAATCACAGCAACAGTTTTATACTCTATACATCAGAGATTTGCAAATTTTCTTTTCTGAATCTGTGATATGCAGACGATTCAGCAGCGTTGCTCAAAGGTGAAGAAACAACAATTTTGAACAGTTTTCCGAGACAACTTCCGTTGTGATCTAGGCCAATACAAATATAAAATTGAGTTGAATTTAATTGAAAGAGAAAAAACAGTTTTATAATTTATGTATTTCAATCTAAAGAGACCAAGACAGAAACATTAATGCATGAAAAAGATTTCTTTGTTTGGCGCATTGACCCCGGCAGTGACACTTGCAGAGGGGAGATCATTTTCTGCTGTAGATGATCTCAGACCCCCCGGGGTCAAGCACTGGTGGTGGCTAGAAGCATGGTGTGAATGGGGCGTAGGTGGAGCAGGAGCCAGAGCAGGAGCCAGAGCAGGAGCCAGAGTAGGAGCCAGAGTAGGAGCCAGAGCAGGAGCCAGAGCAGGAGCCAGAGCAGGAGCCAGGGCAGGGGCCAGAGCAGGAGCCAGAGCAGGAGCCAGGGGAGGAGCCAGAGCAGGAGCCAGGGCAGGGGCCAGAGCAGGAGCCAGGGCAGGGGCCAGGGCAGGGGCCAGAGCAGGAGCCAGAGCAGGAGCCAGAGCAGGAGCCAGGGGAGGAGCCAGGGCAGGAACCCAATCAGGAGCCAGGGCATGAGGCAGAGCGAGAACCCAGAGCTTGAGGAGGTGCTGGGGAGGTGGTGGGTGTTAAGAGCCTCAGGAAGCGCTGTTTATCGGGGAGTGGCTGCTTTTAAACTGCCCGCTTTGCTGTCAGTGGGTTGTCAAAGGCTGGCCGGGCTGTGTGATTGGCAGAGGCTCGAGAGGCTGGCAGAGCTGTGTGATTGGCTGGCCCCGGACGGGTGAGCGCTGTGGCCGGTCTTTCAGTCTGAATTTGCGCTTCAGCTTCATATTTATTTAGTGTTTCATGCATGGTATACCAGCAGCGAGGTCTTCTATCGTCCAGTGTGAAGGGAAACGAACTCTCTTTGCATATATGCAAAAACCGTCTCAATCCACTATTCTTACGCACACTTTTGCACGCACAACTTTCCTTGTGTGTTTCCATGGTGACAGCGGCCTCACAGTATGGTGGTCTCTCTCTGCAGGAGCGCATCGTCCTGATCCGCTTTGACTTCGCCTTCACTGCACTCTTCCTCCTTGAAATGGTGCTTAAGGTAAACAACAACAGATCAATTCATTCAATAAGTTGCGTCCATGGGGTAGAATTTGACTTCAGTTGGAGGTCAAAAAAGCGTGTTGAAAATGCCCGTATGTTTTCCCCGGACTAATATTTGATAATGATTAGATTCCTGCTAAATCCTGCCATATAATTCCAATGTCTGAAAGTCCCTTCTTCTGGTCAACATATACGTTTTTATTGTTGTATTTTTCATCACTTTTAGAGGTTCAGGTGTGTCCAAACCAAGGCCCGCGGGTCAACTGCGGCCCGCTATATCATTTTACGTGTCCCTCTGCCTTGATCAAAAGAGACAGTTTTGCTTCGTCCCATTGGCAAAAGCTGTGTTTTTTTAAGGCAGTCAAAATGTGCTCAAATTATGCTAAAATAAATTTTCGCAGTGTAGAATGTGTTTCATGTGGATCGGGAGATTACCGAGAAATTAGCTCTAGTTGCCCTTCACCACAACGTCAAACTCAAGACTCTTTGCAATGTATAGAATGAACCTATAGTCCCTCGATGGTGCGGCCGTTAACCCCAGATGGTGTGTGCGTCTTCAGGTGGTCTCCATGGGCCTGCTGCTGGGGCCAGACTCCTACGCTCACGACCCCTGGAACGCGTTTGACGGGGTGTCGACTCTGTCCATGATCGCCAGCGTGATGCACAGCAACGCCGAGAAGGAAATGATTGGGATTTTCAAAGTCCTGAGGCTGATGAGGAGCATGCGCCCGCTACGGTAACCACGGAAACACTTGAGATGAACTTGACTGTCCCCCGGGGAAGATTAGTCGTTGGCTGAAGTGCTAAAAACAGTACGGTTTATAAACAGAGGCAAACTAGATTCAGTTTCAGTTTGTTTGCCGTTTGCAGTAAAAACCAAATTGGAATACATGTGTGTAAGTAGTACCCAGTGTGCAGACTCGACAAGTGGGAGTCAATTCTGTGAACATATCAGAAACTGATACAAAACTTGAACTTTTTTATTTTTTTCATTCAGAATTCGGGAAGAAAAGCTGCGTTTGATGCGATGTTGATGCTGTTGTTTATCTTTTTTACAGAATCCTGAAACACGTGCCGCAGCTGCGACATGCCATCAGCACGCTTCTGGCGGCGGTCAAACCGGTTCTGAACGTTGTCTCCCTCAGCCTAATTATCATGTTCATGTTTGGAGTCCTGGGAGTGCAGGTAAACAAATATACACACACACACACACACACACACACACGTATGCACGTATATATACACACACACACACACAGACGTACACACACGCGCACACACATACATACAAATACACATGCACGAGCACACATACACTCACACACACACACACACACACAAAAACACGATATTTAAAAATGCGCACATATTTGGTTTGTTTTTAGCCGCAGCTTGAGCCTGGATCAGTTTAAACTCTCACATTATTTCAGATCATCAGTTCAAATAACATTCTTTCCCTTTTTCATAATTTTAAATATAAAATGTAACTCTTCAAATCCATATTATACAGCCTGGGTGCAGATGGCAGCGCTCTTGAGTTCTGGTCTTTGTGTTAAAGTCTGTTTATGTCCCGTAGTTGTGGAAAGGTTCCTTTTATAACTGTGTGGACGATGAGTCTCATGACGTGAGGATGGAAAACATCACGAACCAGGCGTCTTGTCTCCAAAACAAGTTTCACTGGGAGCGCAGGACCTTTAACTTCGACAACATTTTCCAGGTTTGTCAAACCCAATCGAACACAGTCTCAAAACCAATGACTTTGGGATTTTTGGGCCGTGATTGTAGCCGATACATTTAAAAAAAATAAAAAATAAAGAAAATAATTCACCTGCTCCCTCTGGTGGCAGCATGGGGAGTTACATGCAGGAAGCATTATTTACCCTTGATACTTGTTTCACCATATATTTTACAAATTATATCAATCACAAAACTGCAAAGTAAATAGTAATTTTTTTGGCTAAAAATAATCAATTTTAAAAGTTCTTACAATGCTTAAACTTTTAACTTCTTCTCGTTAATAAACCAATTGGTAGAAGTTTGGAAGCTTCACCCTACGCCCTTTTCTAACCATGTACGTGTGTGTCTGTTATCTGTACTAACAAATTGTGTTTGTGAAGGTAACCAACTAGTCATAGCCACAAACTAGGTTCTTGTGACTAAACACGGTTTGGGGTCACAAAGTTGGCGGCATGTTTATCGTTTGTGCATCTAAGGTTCTCGGTTCGATTCCACCTCCTGCCCTTTCTGTGTGGAGTGTGGAGCCTGTGTAGGTTTCCTCCGGGTGCTCCGATTCACTAGCCTGACTCTCGCCAGACCCATGTAGTTCGCTCCACTTCACACACTGGTACTGAGCCATAGTGGTTGGATTTCAGAAGGCAGGGCCTTGTAAAAAAAAATCCTTGTCTGTGATTGGATAGACCACTTGTCCGTTATCTTGAATGAAGTCTGCTTTCAACCACTCACATCGAAGCACACAGCTTCCATAGGTTGCCAAATCCCGGGTCACTCAGAATGATTTTTTGGCAAAAAACGTAATGTAATCAACTTGAGCTATCATGATTCTGTTTATTGTCTTTCTGTTTATTTAATAACTACAAGTCTCTTGGAAAAAAGATATGCGGGAACCACCAAACCTGGCAACCCTGCTGCATAGTGTGTAAACAGGAACACTGAACCAGTGCTTCAACCAAACTTTACAGGAACATTTGACTCTTAAAACACACATATATCAACATAGAACCATCTACATCTCGCCTCTAATTGCATTAAAAGTGACATCCGTGTCTTAATTCGATCGTATTTACTCTTTTAAAAAGATTCGCAGACTTAACGTCCGCCATCTTGGATTCCTCTCGCTGCTGCATGAGAGAAGCTTGAGAAGGCAGTGCAAACCCCACGTAACACCGGCAATCCTGATTGGTCGATTAAAAAATAATCTGGGGAAGGCGTTCGCTATGGCGTCGATACCAGTGGGGGCGGGTCCCAGCTCAAAAGTGGCCAAAATGACGTACGCTGACATGCTTGCAATACCACCCCGGGCCGATGGGAGTGGACCCAGAAGAAGAATTAGTCAATGCTAACATATAGCGTTGGCAGACCTCTCAAAAACGTCTTTACAGGATGGTCCAGAAGTTGGCCCTTGGCCCAAAGCTCCGTTCCACATGTGTGTCAATGCTGAGGGGGGTGGATTTTTTTGGTCCACTCTAGTTTACTTGCGGTGAATTTTTGAAGTCTCTTGTTTGAATGGAGTTGCGCCGGCTGACGCATGCGCAGATGCGTATATTCCATAGACTGTATATATTAACGGACAGAGTCACGCCTATCTCCGCTGTTCTAACTAATGGGCCAAAAAATTTGCTCTACTGGAGCTATCCAAAGTGGCCGTGAGTGGTCCCGCCCACAAGAGAATTGTGAAAAAACGCATCTGTGCATGCGTCAGCCGGCGCAACTCCATTCATTTGAACGAGAGACTTCAAAAATTCTTTTGGTCCATCCTGTAAAGACGTTTTCGAGAGGTCTGCCAACGCTATATGTTAGCATTGGCTAATTCTTCTTCTGGGTCCACCCCCATCGGCCCGGGGTGGTATTGCAAGCATGTCAGCGCACGTCATTTTGGCCACTTTTGAGCTGGGACCCGCCCCCACTGGTTTTTTCACAATTTTCTTGTGGGCGGAACCACTCGCGGCCATCTTGGATTGCTCCATGAAAGCACTTTTCATGGCCAACTCCTATGAACGGCGGAGATAGGTGTGACTCTGTCCGTTATTATATACAGTCTATGGCGTCGATACCAGACCCATGTGGTTTAGCCAGCATGGCGGAACTACAAGGGTCTGGCAGAGCCAGGCTACCGATTCACGCTACTGCTAAATACACATGCACAATAGATATGAATGTGATTGAATGAGTGAATGGATGGTGGTGCTCATGTATGAAGAGAATGGGACGTTGGTTTGTAAAATGCATTATATGAATTTAAATGACTTGCATGCTTTCTAGGGGCTTCTTGGTGTGTGTGAAGAAGAAAAACTTGTCCACTGACTCTTTGATGACGAGACTTGTGTGTGTGTGTTCCAGGCGCTGATGACCCTGTTTGTGATGTACTCTAAAGACGGCTGGGTGAGCATCATGTATGACGCTATCGACGCCGTGGGGCCCGACATCCAGGTAACACTTTGGATTTTTTACAACGATTGTAGCGTCTTCAAATCTCTATTGCTTTAAAGGGTCCATATTAACGCCACCCTGTCAATATCTCACCCAAAGATAATTTTACAAATATTCAGTTGTCAGAAATGTTGGTTTCACTTAAACCCAATCCCCTCCACAGCATTCCTCTGCGGAGGGGATGGTTTCCTCGCTTCTGTCAGTGTACCCCAGGGCAGCTGTGGCTACAGTAGTTAAGCACCACTGTGTATGGAGTGAATGAATAATGACATGTGAAGCTTCTTTGAGTGTCCTGAAAAGCGCTACTTAAAACTGATTATTATTATTATCATTATTATTATTATTACCATTATTATTATTTTATTAGACGGCTCCTCACAGCAGCGGTAGAACGCTCCATTGATTTGAATGTAATTTCGAAACGTTCTACCGGTCATTATTTCTTGATAACTGACCTCTCAAAACAATAATGACCGCTGCCCTTTGGCAACGCAACCTCTGCTTGTAATTCAGTTTTGTAGATTACTCTGCAAGCACTCCGGAGCTTGCCACGCTCAATAAACGCAAATACCAATCAATCAACACATTTAAATGTTAATCAGAAAATACATTATATATATACATTCTTAATACACATGCACGGAGGATTTCAGAAGTATCTGTTAAGGTTTTCATGACAATAATACTGTTTTAATACGAGAAAAAGCGATTGCGATAAACCCGAAAGTACGTAACAGGACATTTTAGGAACATTTGCAGAGGATCGAATTATGGTTAAGTTTATGTTTGGGTCACTCACCGCTGATTTTCAGAATTCTTTGTTCAGTTTTCATGCAGTTCAAGAGAGTTCTAGTTTGGAAGTTGCTAGCCTAAACTCGCATAGCCACGGGAAAACCTTTATAAATAAACCTTTTATTTGCAGTCATTAAATAAACCTTTCCTAAAAGTGGACTGAAGTTTATTTTGTGTGTTCTGTAGTAGGCAGGGCATTATCGGAAAATAAGTACTGACAGGGCGAAATGGATTCCGAGGCACAGCGGAGGGGTCTGCCTGAATTATCCCTTACATAAATGACCTGGATCGTCGCTGTCCTTAGACCTTCCTGCCTTGGCAACCAGTGCATACTCTTCAATTTTCTCTCAGACCATCTCCTATTCTGAATGATGGATTAAGCCGCTTTGTTGTACAGTAATAAATATCAGCATCAGAATCCTTATATTCCAATGCGAGTAACAAGAAGTCACAAACCAGGAAATTGCTTTGGCTCTCTGTGCAAACAGGTTAAAGCGGAGTAAAATCAAAAAGGCATGCGTAAATAATAATCTACAGAAATAATACGTTTGTTTCCCTCCAGCCCGTGACCGAGACCAACCCCTGGCGCTCTCTCTACTTCATCTTCTTTATGACCACCTCTTACCTGCTGCTGGACATGTTCATCGGGACCATCCTGGACGCGTGGTTTGAGCGGGCCCAGGCGCAGGAGCGGGACCAGGACCGGCGGATCAACCGAGAGAGGATCCCCATACCCAGACACAAAGTGCGCTTTGTCGGCTTGATCTACTTCTTCGAGAAGCTCACCTCGCTGGTCACCGTGGGGCAGCTCTTCCTGATGTCAGCAGAGCACTACAAACAGCCAAAGGTGAGGCCTCAGCCGCCAGAGACATGTTACGTACATTCAGGTTCAGTTTTATTTGCAGTAAAACCACATTGGAATACTTGTGAAAAAGTCCCCCAGCGTGCACCAGACAAGTATATTCTTCTGGTTTCAGTTGAGTGTTTCACTAACTCAGAGGTGTCCAAACCGGTCCAGAAAGGGCCGCTGTGGCTGCAGGTTTTCTATCAGACCCAAAGTACAAGAAACAATTGTCGTTGTGAAACCAATCAACAAATCCACTATTCTAAGATGTGACAAGCCTGTAACTCCGCCCCTAGAAGCTTCTGTCTCAGGGCTGTGATCAAGCCCCGGCGATCCAAGATGGCGCCGTATTCAAATGAATGGTTTGTGCTCAGTGGCGCTTTGTGCTTGCACCGTCGCTGACATATTAGCGGAACTCGCCTGGAACTCGCAAAGATCCATGGGAAACTCGCCTGTATTTGGGCATCGTCTGGTCCTCCCTTTTCTGCGGAGTGGATGAACTCCCATGATATTTGATTCTCTGACCTGTGTTTGCATATTGACAATTTTGTAAAGTCCTCCACTGCTGTTGAGATTTAGGGCTATACAAGAATGAATGGAATTGAACAGGGGAAATATATGATTCTTTACAATCATATGGCTGTCAATGGTTGCAACTGGTAATTCTCAATGAAGAAAAAAAAAAGAAAAAATAGAAACTTTCTTTTGTCCCAACAGAAACAGTCTTGTAAACGCTGCCTTTATGTTATTAGAAAACATTTTTGTATTCATTGTATTCATTGTATTTACGCGTGTAGTAGAATTCTTGTGAGAAAACTCATCTGAAGATGTAAAAACTAGTGATCGATCGAGGAACTAAGAATTTATTACATTGTTGCATTTTTTTTCTGTACGTTTGTTTATTATTGATTTTGTAAATGTGTTTCTATTTTATTGAGGGTCATTTTAAGAGGACCCAGGACAAACAATGTTGACTAATCTGTGTGTGTCCAGGCTCTGGAGTATGTTATGGACGGAGCCTTCTACTTGGTCGCCCTGTGCTTCCTCTGCCTCCTGCTGCTCAAGATCTGCGTGCTCAGGCGCAGCTGCTTCAAGAACAAGTGAGCGTCTCCAAAAACACTTTTCATGATGTCAGAGGATGGATGTGGCTCGGTACAAAGCTTCGGATACGTTACTTTTTAAAATACTAATAACGTCATGTTCGAATGTGAAGGAAGAACACCTGAATGTGCAACTTCTTAGTACAGAATATTTTAGTGTTGGATGATTTTAGGGAAACTTGTCTGTGTTTTCAGATGGAACTATCTTGACGTGGTGTTGTTGGTGCTCTGCATAACAAACATCCTCCTGACGACTCCACCCCTGAAGGACCACCTGCTGCTGGACGTCAACCTGTTAAGGAGTCTGCGTACGCTCACCATAGCTCAAGGTTCACTGTTTAAAATGGTTAAATAGATAGATGTAGACAGATGTAGACAGATAAAGACAGTCTCTCTAGTCTGAGCTCCGCCCATGCTGCCATAGCTCACAGTTAGGTTTATATAATGATAATAATACATGTATAGTGCACCTTACATTTGACACCAAATCTCAAAGTGCTACAAAGTCAGCAGCATAAATAAAAGCATAACACACATAAAATCAAATAAATAAACTAGATTGTAAAACATTTGTCTTCTGGAAACACAGAGGACATATCACTGAGGCCTCAGGAGCAGTGGTCACTACAGTGTGACATCTGCAGATGCTCGGCTTGGTCAGGACGATCACATTGGAGGATTTACCCTTAGGTGCATGTTGTTATTAGAGGTAGGGGAAAGAGGGACACACAGAGGATGCTCAGGACCTTCTTGCTGAGAAGCGAAAGTGCTAACCACTCACCACAACAGCACAGATTCCGGTGTATCCTCCTTCTCTCGCTCATGAACAAGATCTGAGATACTTGAGCGCCTGCGCTTGAGGAAGGACATTAGATCCATCCCCATTGTCTAGGGACACAGAAACTTGTCTTGAACAAACAATGGGAACAGAAAACAAGGAGCCCCTCGTTTCATCTCTAGGGGCATATCGTCCCAGTAAATAAATCATAAAGAAAGACAGAATAAATAAACATGCCAAAGGACAAGAGCATGTAGACCCGGCGTACATGAGCCAGTGCAGTATTCTTACACACGTGTTGTATTTTCAGTGCTGAAGAAAGTAAAGGGCCACACTCTGATTAAGACCATTGGAAAGACTCTGTCCAAGGTGAGCGGTCCACAACATTTGCGTCACTCTCTCCGGTTGTGAACATATGTTTGTTTGTTTCAGTGTGGAAGCCTCGGGTTGCTCGACATCTTCGTCTTCTTCGTCTATGCCGTTTTGACCGTGGAGCTATTTGGAGAATTGAGTATGTAACAGCAGACTATAGGCACATGACTGTTCCATTATTTATGATTTGGAAAACAACAAGGATTGAGCAACTAAAAACCAGTGACATGTTTGTTGTGTAGGCCTGGCATGCGCCTCCTGTTCGGCGACCCCACTTCCATCTCTGTGTGGAGTGAGCGACAAATGCCCAAAAATAATAACAATTGTAAACCGCTTTGTGACTCTGGTCTGTGAAAGGCGGTATATAAATAAAGATTACGTACGTACGTACTTACGTACGTGTGGGTATTTGTGTGTTTGTGTTTGCAGAGTGTGCAGATGATTATCCCTGCGAAGGAATCAGTCGATATGCCAACTTTAGGGATTTCCTCAGTGCTCTGCTCTTGCTCTTCAAAATATCCACTGGAGACAATTGGAGTGGCATCTTGAAGGTATTTGAAGGATAATTTTGTCGTAAATAAAACATTCTTCTGTTTTATTGAGTAAGAAACTGCTACCCCTGTAGAACCAGTGGGGGTGTTCTGTCGAGTTGGTCTGCCCTTCGATGATCTGCAACTCGACAGAACACCTGTTCAAAAGTGGCCAAAATGATGTGCGCTGACATGCTTGCAATACCACCCCGGGCCGATGGGGGTGGACCCAGAATAAGAATTAGCCAATGCTAACATATAGCATTAGCTGACCTCTCGAAAACGTCTTTACAGGATGGTCTAAAAGTTGGCTCTTGGCTCAAAGCTCCGTTCCACATGTGTGTCAATGCTGAGGGGGGTGAATTTTTTTGGACCAGTCTAGTTAAGTTGTTGTGATTTTTTTTAAGGCACTCGTTAAATGAATTGGGCTCGTGCAGCTGACGCATGCGCAGATGCGTTTTTTCACATTTTCCAGCCCCCGCGGCCATTTCGAATCACTCCATGAAAGCCCAATTATTGGCCCAGAACGGCAGAGATAGGCGTGACTACGTCCATTAACAGTAGCTCAGTTGGTAGAGCATTGGCCTTAAGCCTAGAAGGTCGTGGGTTCAATTCCCACCTCTGCACCTTCTCCACCGACTCCCACTGATGACTGCTGTCGTTGTGTCCTTGGGCAAGACACTTAACCCCACTTTGCCCAAAGCTCCCACTGAAAGATCAAGGCTATGCTCACACTCAGAGAGCAGCCGTCCTCCTGTGGACTCACCACCTGCAGAGGATCAGTGAGGGGCTGGTGCTATGAGACTTGGGTGGCATCTCTGACTGTCACCCCCCTGACCCAGAAATGGATTAAAGGGTAGAAAATGGATGGATGGATGGACGTCCATTAATATTTACAGTCTATGTGTAGTACCCGAGAAACAGGTTAATAAAATATTGGACTCATAGCTAAATGTCCCAAATATGTTACAAACGAGCGGTATTTGTCTTTTGCTGCCGAGTGCCTGGTAGTGCAGCTCCATCTTACTTCATTTTTGTGCTTGGTTTTATTTTGACTTCAATTCTGTGTTGGTTTTGTTTTAGTTTGTGTCCTATTGTGTTGATTAGGGCTTTGACTTTTGTACAAAAATCATATTCGAAGTTTGTTTGTTTAATAATCTAAACATTCGAATATATTCGAATAATGAATTATAATTTATTAAATAGCTCCTAACATTATTCAACGAGTACAACGGGCTTTCAGCAGGCGCCTGTCAATACTTGTGTCTGCGCAGACAGGCTAGCCCGTGGCTAGCTCCGCTAGCGCGAAGTTACCATTCACATGAAACGAACATTTTAGGACACATTTGAAGAGGATATGGATATAGATTTGTTATATAAATGGGTAACTCACCGCTGATGGCCAGAATTCTTTGTTCAGTTTTCATGTAGTTCCAGAGAGTTTTTGAACTAGCTAGCTTAGCTGTTATCCGCCTAGCCCAATAGATCCATGGCCTAGCCACGTCACAGCCAAACCTTTGGGAGCTATCTATTTTATTTGGAGTCATTAAATACATTTATATTTTCTGATATTCGAACTATATTCGAATATCGGATTTCAAAGTCAAAGCCCTTGTGTTGATTTTCTGCCCCGCCCTGATGTGTTTCACCTGTGTCTATTTGTACCTGTGCTCCTCTCCTCTTGTTGCTGGTCCTTTGTCTTTGCTGGTCTACAGTACGTCCATGTTCCTGGTTCCCTTGATGTCATATGGGTTTTTGAGATGGTTTTAGTTGGAATTTTGTTTTGCGTCCTCAAATCATTATTGTTTTTGCATTCCTGTGTTTTGAGTCCTCTCTCCAAGATTGACAAGTGGGAGGACCAATAGTCTTGATGATCCAACTGGAAGTATACTTAATAGTTACCTAATGTAACTTAAGTTCTACGAATAGGTGCGTAGTCCCTTAGGACTTCGCTAGTGGGATATCACGTGACCCCCAGGTCACAGACGCCAGAGAGATCAAAAATAATTTGCTCCAATCACCAGCCACCTTCCTCTATAAATGCCCCTGCACAAGGCCGCACCCCCTCTTGAACTCTGCCAAGCCGGGCTGGCCTGATGGGCTCGTAGCTAAGGGACTACGCACCTATTCGTAGAACTTAAGTTACATTAGGTAACTATTAATTCTACGTCATGGTGCTACGTCCCTTAGGACTTCGCTAGTGGGACACAACGCGGAGGCCGTAGGAACATGTACTCCCAGCAGGCCAGCGAAGGGTGATTGGAGCTCCGCCCGAGCAAGACCCTCACACCGTGAGAGGACTCAGGGCAGAAGAAACAAAGCGTGTTACCGGGCCACTCCTACCAAGGACGCCCCCACGTAACACCGATCGTAGGTCAACCGTAGTCACAGGACGCCTCTCCCAAGAGCTCCTGATGTAGACTACCAGACCGATCAAACACACATATATGTACCGCACCTGTAGGATGCCTCTCCCAAGAGCTCCTGCACCAGGGCGGAAAAATAGACCGAAGGCCCACTCCTCAGGGGAGGGACCCAACGGTCCAACTCAATCCGCTGCACTCAGCACGGAATGGGCCACCGACCGGTCCGACACATCCGAAAGATAAGACCGGACGAAAGAGGAGGACGACGCCCAAGAAGCCGCACGGCAAACGTCCTCGACCGACGCCCCCCTGAGAAGGGCCGTAGAGGCCGCTATCCCACGCGTGGAATGCGACCTGAAACCCACCGGGGGGGCCAGGCCCTGCGCCTGATACGCCCGTCGCACCGCCGTGGCGACCCAATGCGCCAGCCGCTGAGCCGACAGCGGGGCGCCCCTGTTCTTGGGGCCCAGACACACAAACAGCTGATCACCCGACCTGAATGACGACGTCATGGCCAGGTAATGCCTCAGCATTCTGATAGGACACAGAAGGTGCTGCCGCTCCTCCTCGGGGGAGGCATGCGGCGGCGGGTGGAAAGCCCTAATCCTGATCACTCTCGACCTAAAGGCCGACGTGATGACCTTGGGGAGAAAAGCCGGATTGGGCCACAACTCCACCATGCCGTCGTCCTCTCCAAAGGACAGGCACGACGCATGGACTGAGAGCGCACACAAATCGCCCGCCCTTTTTGCAGACGCCAACGCCAGCAAGAGGGCCGTCTTAAAAGCGATACAATCGGGACTCGCCTCCGCCGCCGGTTCAAAAGGCGAACCCGACAGCCCCCTAAGGACCACCCTGAGGTCCCAAACCGGAGGCGTTCTCTGGAGCGGGGGCCTCCTCCTGCGCGCCCCCCGCAGAAAACGTTTAATCAACGGGTGAGAGCGGGCTGTGAACCCCCCGAACCCGTCGTGACCCGAAGTAATGGCTGCCGCAAACACCGCCAAGGTAGCGACAGCCCTCCCCTTGTCGAAAAGCTCCTGTAGGAATCCCAGGACCCCCTCCAGCGGGCAAAACCTGGGATCCCAGGAACGGGAATCGCACCAGGCACTGAATAGCCTCCACCTCGTGGCGTAGGCCCTCACGGTGGACGGCGCCCTCGCTCCCTGAATTGTCTCCACCACCGCAGGGGGAAGACCCAGATCTACGAGGCTCCGCCTCTCAACCTCCAAACCCAGAGCCTGCGGCCGATTATCGGACGTGAAAACAGGGCTCCTGCCCCCTGGACTAGAGCCCCCGGCTCGTCCGGGAGGGCCCAGGGCTCCATCACCGCCATGCCCCTCAGGAAGGGGAACCACCGGGCATGCGGGCTGTCCGGAGCCACCAGAATCACCGACCTCCTCTCCTGTTCGATCCTCCGCAGTAGGACCGGCAGGAGACGCACCGGTGGAAAAGCGTACAACAGGCCGCCTGGCCATGGGTAATGAGCCAGAGCGTCCACGCCTAAAGGCGGCTCGTCCGCGGCCCTTAAGGCGAACCAGGACGGGCACTGTGCGTTCTCTGCACTGGCGAAAAGGTCGACTACTGGACGACCGAACCTCCGCCAGATCTCCGCGGCTACCCGTGGGGCCAGGCCCCACTCGTCCTGGAGTGGGCCCCCCCTGGACATCCTGTCGGCTCCCACGTTCCGGACCCCCGGGACGTGGCGCGCCCTGAGAGACAGGAGGTGAAGCGCCGCCCACAGCAGCGTCACCGTCGCCATGCGATGGAGAGCGGGGGACCTGGTGCCCCCCTGCCTGTTCAGATAGGAGACCACTGTGGTGTTGTCTGAGCGCACCATCACGTGTCTCCCCTGCAGCTGAGGGGCAAAGTGCAGCAGTACTCTGTGCACTGCCTCCATCTCCAGCAGGTTGATGTGACGGGCTGAGTCCGACCAGCAGCCTCCTACAGAGCTCTGGCCGAGGACCCCGCCCCATCCTTCGAGCGACGCGTCCGTGAACACCTCGGCGTGAGACACAGCGCAGGCCAGAGTCACTCCGTCCCGCAGTAGACCCGGAGTGAGCCAGAACCTGATGTCCGATGCTGCCCCTTGGGGAACCCAGATCAGCCTCCCCCCGTCCCGGGAGGGGTGAAGCCTGAGGCGCGAGAACCACCTCTGAAAATTTCTCATGTGGAGCAGGCCTAGCCGCACCACAGCATGAGCCGCTGCCATCATCCCCAGCAGGGACCTGAGGCGCCGAGCGGGAACTCTGGGGCCCGCCAGAACCTCCCGGGCCAGACGGGTAATATTCGTCGTCTGTCCACGGACAATGCAGCACGGAATATCACAGAGTCTAGCTGCAGACCGAGGTAAATCATGCGTTGGGCTGGCTGCAGCTTGCTCTTCTCCCTGTTCACCACAAAGCCCAGACGCTGTATGTGGGACAAGACCCATTGCGTGTGGCTCACGGCCACTTCCCTGGATGGGGCCAGTATTAACCAATCGTCTATATAGGTCAATATTCTTACCCCGGCACGTCTGATCGGCTCCAGAGCCGCTTCCACACATTTGGAAAAAGTGCGAGGCGCGAGAGCGTACCCGAAAGGGAGACGGCAGTACTCGTAATTCCTCTCTCCCACTGCGAAGCGCAGAAATCTCCTGTGTTCTGGCACTATGGGTACGTGGAAGTATGC